GTCACTGCATCATGAACGCATGCATCATCTGGCATATCCCTCTGAGTTTTCCGTCACATCTCGCTTGTGTCCTTGTTTAGGAAATAGTATTCGGCTATTTCTATTTGCTACTTGTTCCCCACTTTAAATATGCAATAACGCCTTCAGAAATTTTGTTATACAAAGTGGAATCAATTGCAGAAGTGATATCTTTGCATGTACATTTTTCATATTCATATTCAATGAATTTGCTTTTTTTTTTTATGGGAAAATGCTAAAAAAAATATTGTAGCTAGGTAAATGACAATTACAACCCTTATTAAAATACATGATGTCATCAGAGCTTTTAACGACCAATCAAAATATTGAAATATAATTGTGGTGGGATTTTTATAAGTATAGAAATTAATAATGATTGATTCTTTTGGATTAACATTTGTAACTAGAAGTAATATATTTGTGTTTGTAACTCAAGTGACGATTCTCTATAAGAAATTTATGAAAATGCATAATTCAAGAAAATATAATTATCAAACTGGTTTGGGGGAGGCACATGTCTTGAGGTATTATTATTTTGTTTTTTTTTTAAAAAAAGAAAAACATGTTGAATTCACAATTTCATATAGGGGTGTTAATTCGGTCGGTTCGATTGAATCGGATTTTTGAACCTTAAAAAACCGCCCAATAACCGAACCTATAGTAGGAAAATCCGAACCGAACCGACTGAAAAACCGATCGGTTTAATCGGTCGGTTTGCCCTTAACCCGAACCAAATGCAACAAATAAATGATTTTTTATTTTTTTTTTTGAAACTAAACAGCATTCAAGTTTGAATTTAAACACCCTGAACAACAATACAACATGAAAGCTTTCAGCCCAAATAACTTAAAATTCCAATATGACATTAACAAGATAAAAAAAAACAGCCACAAATTTCAATATCACAAAACAAATCCGACATAAAGTTTTCATTCAACAACAAGTAAAAGAAAAAAACATCAATAGTAAGGTCTTCTACTCTTCTTAATTGCCTTCCAGTTCCACATTACTCAACAATCAACCCTTTTAAATTTGATATAAGCAACCATCACAAAACAAAAAACTCTTAAGCCAATTTCCTGTAAGTGTTAATGATGAAAGAGTTATAAAGTAAAACTAGTAGAGAATCAGAATACAGTGCAAATCAAATTATGTTAAGTACCACAAATTAAATGAGAAAATCACCTTTTCACAGAAAGATCATGTGTCATGGCAAATCTGAATTTATGCCAATGTCCTTTGGAATGAAATCTGCAATTGGTAAACAAAAAACCAAAGAAGTTATTGTAAGTAACAAATAAAAGGAATACACGTTAACTTTAAATATTACTTTAAAATTTCTAAATTATTACCTTTTACCACTCCTTCAAGGTCTTCCCAAGTTTCTTCAACCTTTACTATCTATGGCTTCTCTGTAGGATCCCGGAGCCAATCTTGAGTACAAATAAGTCTTTGAACTACCTTCGGAGTCAAAGAACTTCTAAAAGCATCTAAGACTCTTCCACTTGTACTAAAACAAGATTCAGAAGCCACTGTAGAGATTGGAATGGCTAAGAGATCACGAGCCATCAAAGATAAAATAGGAAATCTAGGACTATTAACCTTCCACCAATTCAAAATTTCAAACTTCCCATTATCTTCTTCAAGATCTTCTTTCAAGTATTTATCTAACTCTGACTTTGAATTCATACCACCAGCCTCAATTTTCTTCTTCTTCAATTGCATTCTAAACTTTTCTGTTAACATCCTTGAAGCTTGTACATCAATGGGTGAATTCCTTTTTCCCAAAGAAGATTGAGATGACTCTGGAGGAGGAGAATGTGAACTACGCTCCAGGTTATATAACTTCACATAGTCATCATACATGTCATGTAGTTCACTTTCAATCTGGCTCTTTCTTGACTTACCATCTATTTTACCATACACATCATTCAAAACAATTTCTAAATACTCAAGTTTGTTCCTAGGATCCAGCACACAAGCCACAACAAAGCCAAGTTGCAAGTTTCAAGATTGCCAAAATACTTATCAAATTTATCCTTCATCATCTTTGCCATTAAGGAGATGCTAGGATCTTCAGATTCATTGATTAGTTTCCTTAAAAGAGCCTCAATGAAAGTCACACCCTCAAAGAAAAAATTTGAAGTTACAGATTTAGTTTGAGAGACTTTCAAAGTAAACTCATAAAAAGGTTGAAGGATACCTGCAAATGTTTTGGCCTCATTCCAATCTATAGAAGTAGGAATCCCAGGCCCTGTTTCTTCTTCTTCTCCTTCCTCATTGCGCCTAATAACCTTCGCAAGAGTCTCTTTATAATGTGGCTCTGCTGATTCATACCTCTTAAAAGCCCTTTCATAAGGTTGAGCTGTCTCCAACATTAAATATGTGGAATTTCACCTTGTAGGCACATCCAATGCAAGATTCTTAGTGCTTGGACATTTTTCAATCTCAGCAAATTTTTTGAACTTTTCAATTCTCTGTGAAGATTGCCTAATATACTTGACAGCAGCCCTGAGTCTTTCAATAGACACACTAATGTGTTCCAAACCAGATTTAACTATTAAATTCATGATATGAGCAATGCAGCGAATATGCAGCCATTTTCCTTGCAAAATACATTTTTTCCAATTTTCAAACTGTTCTTTCAAATATTCCATGGCTGAATTATTTGCACTAGCATTATCAACAGTGATAGTCAAAACATTATCAATTTCCCAATCAAGGAAACACATTTCAATTGCCTTCCCAATATCATCTCCCTTATGACTTGTTATTGGACAAAAATTCAGAATTCTCTTTCTCAATTTCCAATCATTGTCAATATAATGAGCAGTGAGAGTCATATAGTTCACTTTTTGCAAGGAAGTCCATATATCGGTAGTTAAACAAACTCTCCCAATATAACCTCTAAGCTCAGCCTTAAGCTTACTCTTCTCATCCAAATACAACTTGTAGCATTCATTAGCAATGGTAAGCCTACCCGTACGAATAAACAAAGGCTGACATTTTCGCATGAAGTATAAAAATCCTTTTTTTTCCCACAAATTTAAAAGGCAGTTCATCTACAATAATCATATATGCAAGTGCCCTATAAACTTGGTCATCATCATACTTCCATGCCCCAACATGCACATTATCCCCATCAATCCCACCCTCAAGTACTAACTGAGCCTGCTTTGGATCCATATTAGAAGGCATTTTCTTACAAGTTGACAAATGTGCCTTAAGGGTACTTGTTCCATGTTTTTTTGTTTCAGAATGGTACTCATTTCCACAATATTGACATCTACTTTTCTTCTCACCTCGTTCATTTGTGAAAGTTTTGAAATGAGCCCAAACCTTAGATCTTTGGCGACCTCTTCGTGTCTTCGGTGACTTTGGTGACTGTCCAGCACCCTCTACATTGACATCTTCTAATTTCACATCACCCTCCTCGGCAAATTCCAAATTAATCAACACCGCATCAGTGCTTGGCAAAGTAGACATCTAACTATCTGAGACCAAAGTAAACAGAAAAAAATATTATATGAAATACAGTAACACAAGGGAAAGGAAGCCGTGAGAAAAGAACAAAATCATGCAGGCTGCAGCCGATTAAATCAGATCAGAACAAGTATGAAAAAATTCATTCTCAACAAATCACAACCCAAAACAATGGAAACAGGATGCAAATTCTTCAAACAGAAGCATGTGGGATGCAAAAGTAAGCAAGAAGAAATTATTTCCAGCAAGGCAGCAACGACAAGAATTAATGAAAAAAAAGAGGAGCTGGGAGGAAGTTGAAGAATTTAGACTTCAAAAAATCCATCTAGTGGACCATGAAATTAATAAGAATATGGCAGCACCCAAACCAAATGCAACAAACCTTTAAAATCAACCAACCTTGAGAGGGTGGCGTCGCTTGCGGATCTGGAGCCAATTGACCGAGAGAGGTGGACTGGAGCTTCAATCCTCAGCTGCAATCGACTGATTGGAGTCTTCGTTTCCAATGAACTCAACAAAATCCTATTCTAAACTCGCCAATTGAAAAAAATAAACAGATGGGGTTGATTTTGGAGTTGATTATGAGGATTTGAAAATTAGAATGGATTTTTGCTAGTTAAGGTTGAGGGTGAAGGGCGGCCGACCATGGTGGTTCGATTCTTCGAGAGAGAGAAGAGAAAAAGAAGCGGCCGGCGGCCAATATGAGTAAACCCTAGTAATAGAAAATGTAAAAAACTATTTATACTTCCTTAAAAATAACTATAAAAAATATATAACAGTAAAGTTAGTTCGGGTTTCGGGCAGGCCCCGAAACTAAATCCCAAACCCAAAACCGCCATCTTCATTCGGTTAAAACCGAAAACCGACCCGAAAGACAGGAAATCCGACCCGAATGACAGGAAATCCGACCCGTTTGACCCGAATTCAATTCGGATCGGTCGGTTTCTCGGGTGCACCCGTTTAACTAACACCCCTAATTTCATATCGGGTTTGAAGCGAAGAGATAGATGGTATGATGGGATTTTTGTTTTTGTTTTAGTTTGTGGCTTTGTGTGTATGTGTATTTAAGATTAGTTTTGAAATTGACTTTACAAACGTGTTTAGACAAGAAAAAAAAATAAAAAAAATTTCGGACACGGTTGACTACCGGTGAACCACCATTGACCGGCAACTGGCAGTCGGCAAGCTAATGAACGCATGTTTGCAAAACCTAGAGCCCAAAAATGTTGTTGGGCCTCTTTGAGATGATATAAAATCAAATTAAAAAAATACAGCCCAAACAGGGCCATAGATTTCTCCCGGCTTGAAATCCGGTTCTCAAGTCAATTTCAGATTTCAGACGAATAAAACTATCCGGTTACCGGATGAATCGGCAGGTCCGCGCACATCCCACCGTCGATTTCAAAGCCATCTCAGACATGATTGATTTAAAAGAGGCCAAATTCAAAATATATATATATATATTTTTTTAAAAAAGGAAAAATGTTAAAGGGATATGTAAAATACAAAGAGTTTCGCGGTTATACACCAAAAATAAAAATTTCTTTCTTTCAGCTTCGTTTTCTCTCCTCTTTCCCTCTCTTCTTTCTCCCCATCTCTTCCCACCCTTTCTCTCTCTTCAATCTGAATCTCTTTCTCCAGCCGTCTTCGTCTTCATCCTCTTCGAAAATCCACTGCTTTTGAATCTCCAAGTCCAATTCCAGAAGCCTCTGGACTGTTCCTTAGGTAAAACTATTTGAACTCGCATCCGATTCCTGCGTTTGAATTTTTTTATTTTTTTAAAAATTTGTTTGAACACAGTTCCTTATGGACTTTCGAGTGTCAGATTCTGCCTTTCTACTGTCAATTTCTCGTTCTATGTGTTTTAATTCTCCTAATTTGAACGATCGTTGGTGTGTTCTTCTGCTTGGAGGATTATCCGGTTTGAATTTTTTTTTTTTTTGGTTTTATTTATGGTTCTTTGGTGCGGGGTTTTCAAATTTGGCGGATTTTCTCGCCCTCTTTTTTAAATTGCTTGGGTCGGTTTGTGTTGCACTGATTTCAATTTGTTCATTGCATGTGCTGATTTTGTCAATTAAGGCTTTTGCTTTCATTTCGGAAAGATTCGTTGAAATTTGAATTTCACATGTGGTTTTGTTTGTGTGAGCACTCTGTGGGGTCTGTACAAAATTACTGATCTTGATCTTCAATTTCAGAATTGGAGTTAATTTCTTTTCTTTTTATTTTTTTTTTCCAAACGTGATTGAGTGAATTTAGTCGGATTTTGAATACGCCAGATTTATGAAAGTCCGTTTTTGCAGCCTATAATGGGCTTTACCCAACAAGCTCAATGATTTTCTTTCTGGGGGGTGGGGTTTGCTCGGGTTCAGAACGGTTTTGCAGCTTGTGGTTGAGACTATGTATCAGTTGGCGGCTGAGAAATGAAAGATTGTTGAAGTATGGATGCCCATTTTATATGTGATATTGTAGTAGCCTTAAATTCGCGGTTTAGTGAGATATGGATTTGTGTCTAGAGGTGAATTTTTAATTGTTAGTATTTGGATTGAGTTGTGTTTCTTAGAGTTTAGAACTTGTAGGTTTTAAGTGTATTTCTTGTTGTATTGGTGTAATTTATGTATGTTCTTTGCTCGGTCTGTTGAGTTTCTTTTTTTTTTTTTTTTTTTACCCAAAAGGCATTTGGTGAATTTAGTGGCCTATCTACTGGAAGTCTCGAAACATTGTGTCTAGTAGGATAGTCCGTGTTGCTATGATTTTCTTCTTAAATTGATCTCAAAGAAGATGGATTCGTATCATATTTGGCTCTGCAGCCTTTATTTGAATTCAGTACCATATGCAGAATGACGAGATGTTTTTGGTAGTTTTGTTGGCACCGTATTCGTAATCCCAGGTCTTCATGTGTGGAATGCTTACTAGTATCTATTTGATTGCAAACCAAAGTCAATAAGTTCTTCAGAATTCAGATGCTTAAGGGTCGTTTTTATTTTGGGAGCTACATAATTATGGAATTTGAGTATGAGAAAGCAAACTTTATCATACACTTTCTACCATGTGGTTTTTTTTTCCTTACTCTCCGCATATTTTACTTGCATACATACAAACTTAATGTTCTACTCCCCAATTAGTAGTTTTCTTTATTCCTTTAAGGGTAGTTAGTTCTGTCTGTGATGCCTATCGTTTGTAGTTTCATTTATATTTACAACTTTAAGTAGAATCTAAAATTAGAATTATCATCGCACATTGCTGATTGAATGGTGTGATTGACATACTTAATAACCGCTGCTATCCTCCCCCCTATTTTGGAGTCGGAAAAGGATCTGATATCAGAAGTTTACGTATGGATATGGTTGTTTTCAGCTACTTTTGTGAAATACAAGGTGCTTTAATGCACATCGACACTAGATTAAATTTGTATGTTAACAGTCTTGAATGCCTTTTGATCTAGGCAATTTGGAACTTTTTAATGGGGCCAGCAAGAAAGTCTAGGAACCCAAACAAACGGTATTCTTCTGTCAATGAAGCATCTCCTGTAAAAGAATCAGAAAATAGTGGAAGAAGCAGTCTACGGGTGAGTTGAGTTATGCTTTCCCTACTTGCTGCAAAATTTGACGTCTTCTCTCTCTCTCTCTCTCTCTATTTTATTTTATTTATTTTTTTGGGGTAGCTTATTGGAGCTTAATTCAGTTTTGATAAAAGAAACCGTAGAGTAGTGATCCTGATTTCTCTATGTCAATCAACAAATTATTTGGTCCTTTTTAGCCATTTTTCAAATTCTGTCATGTTGGAGGTTCCCATTTTTTTGTCTCTCCCAACCTCGGAATTGTCTCTGAGGGGGATTTTATTTCTTTCCTTTTTTAAGTGTTGGCTGTCATTTTGGCAAAGCTTATAAACTCTGCTGGTAAGGAACTGGTAACATCAGATTATTCTGCCCAGCACTAAAGATGACATATCAAAACCTTACTGTTTAGGCTTTCTTTTTGTTTGTGCTTTTTTTTCCTTTGGTTTTAATGTGAATGTCCTTGCTTCTTTTGTTACAACCACGAGGACAAGTTTAAAAAGGAATGCCTATTTTCTGTGGAGTCTTAGCTTCAGTCAATTTCTTTGTTGACACATTTTGAGGCTGTATCATTTTCATCTGCAGAAGAGGAAAATTTCTGACATGTTAGGGCCTCAATGGAGCAAGGAAGAGCTCAGTCGTTTTTATGAAGCATATCGCAAATACAATAGAAACTGGAAAAAGGTTAGAAAGTCCCCCTCCCCCCTCCCCCCATCTTTTTTTGAAGCGTCGGAGTTTGTTTAAATTTTGGAATTAGGCGCTAGGTGTATTTACTATCGTTCGTGTATTTAGAATCATTGGTTATCCGTAAGCAGAGAAGCTTGCTTTTTGTGGATATATGTTGAGATAATTTTCTTTGTTGGAATTGCCAACTGCTAAAGAGTTGGTGCTTTCTCAAAATTTCAGATTGCTGCTGCAGTAAAACATCGATCTGTTGAAATGGTGGAGGCCCTTTTCACAATGAATAAGGTGTGAAGATTGTATTTTTCTTTGTTGTTATTTTTTTGTATGCTAGTAAGTACAAGATTTGCTTCTTTGTTGCCCTTCATATAATATATATGCTGTGAGATTGCAAAAGCGTCCGATGATAGGCATAGATGTGGAATAATTTACCTGACATTTTCTATCCATGCTGTTCTGTCAACTAAAATGCTGTGATTCCGTTGGAATTCCCGAGTCTCATCTAGAAAGCTGGTTCTTGCATTATTTGAACCTTGTCTTACCATTTCCTATCTCCATTGTGGTTGATTCCTGAATATGATGATTGCATCAACTCCGTTTTTTATTTTTGCTAAATTCCTACACCTCAACTTGTCTATCTAAGATAGGTAGCTCACTTGTATTACTGATTCTCAGGCTTACTTGTCACTTCCAGAAGGCACAGCTTCAGTTCGTGGACTAGAAGCAATGATGCAAGACTATTACAGCAATTTGGTGATTATTTTCAACTCTTATTTTCAGCATCTTTTATATTTGCTAGAGAGCTTTCCTGGATTCAAAGGGGGATATTTACATTAGTCAGATAGGAAACAACTTCCCCCCCCCCCAACCCAATTATTTGTTTTTACATTCTTTTGTTTTACCTTTTTTCTCAGTTCATTTTGATTATCCAAAAATCCTGAGAATTTGAACAGACTTCCTTCCTGATTTTAAATGATTTGTAAGAAGTTTATCCATTAACTTATGATAGCAGGCTATTGACAGTGGCTTTCATTGTTGAATTTGTTCCTTCCGGATCTTCCTGTGTTTTCAATTGCTTCTGATAGATTTTTTTGCTTTCAAATTTGTGAGGATAAGGACTTACGATAGTGATTTCTCAAATGTTCTTGGAACTTGGTTCCTTCTTATGTAATTTGTTTGTGATTTGCAGGCAAGCGACAGCGACCAAGAAAGCAATGATGGGGTGGGAACTTCCAGGAAACCGCAGAAGCGTGTTAGGGGAAAAAGCCAACCGAACAACTCTAAAACATTTGAAAATGACTTTGTTTCAGATTCCCCAACTGCAACACCTTATGGATTTCAATCAATGCTGAAGAAGAAGCGCACAGGAGGTATGTGGTGTGGAAAATGATGCTGATAGAAGTATTTCTTTCCTCTTTAAACTTATTGTGATGTGTGCCTTGTTTAATAGAAACTCCACAAAATGTGTATTCTCATCATTGCCTGCCTTACCAACATTTGTATCTTTTATGGTTATATCAGGTTTACATACCGTCTCCAACTCTTTTTTGTTGTCTGATCATGGTTATTTTGCAGTAGTTTGTTTGTTCAGTGTCTTCACCTTTAATTTCTGATCTTTAAGGTGTTGAGCTTTTTAATATACCAAACCTCTTTGTTTGGAACTGACAGATAATGTTAATATATGCTTTTTGGGCTGTTACTATAGAAGCTGTATTGGCAATTAAAACTAATGTTTTTCTCGTTGCGTTTCATTTAGTGACTCGAAAAAGGACCCCACGGGTCCCCATTGCCTATGAGAATGGTAACGGGAAGAGGTTATCCTCACCAGCTGGGCAGGGTGCGAAGTTGGAGACTGCTACCAATGACGATGATGTTACTCATGAGATAGTAATAGCTTTGGCTGAGGCGTCACAATTAGGAGGTTCTCCTCAGGTTTCGCAGACGCCAAGTAGAAGAACTGAAAGTGTTATGTCATCTCCTGCTCGCAATAGGGAAAGGAAGGTAGACAGTTTTAAAGTTTTCTTTGAGAGTCTTCTTAATGTACCTTTTAAACTCCTTTTCTAGTTCTACATTGATCTTGGTTTTGGTTTGCTGAACAGAAAATGACCAGAGCCAAGCATGTTGATAGCGATATAGATGAAGAAGAATTAGAGGTAAGTATGGAAGCTGATACTGGTCAAATATCCAGGCGTAAGGGTTACTTGAAGAGAAATGTGCATGCTAGCAGTAGGGGGAAAAGATTTGATGGAAAGAAAACAAATGTTGACGACACTGGTGACAATCAGTTTGACGACACACTGGAATCTTGTAGTGGAACAGAAGGAAAAAGATTTGTTACATCAAGCTTTAAGCCCTCTTCCCAAGGGCCTAGGAAGAGATTGAAAAGGACACCACTTCCTAAAAGAGGTATGTATATCCTTAAGAACTTTTCATCAGATAACGTAGCTCTCTTCCTTTTATTATGTATAATACACTCCTTGGGTAGTGAATCTATAGCCGGCTTTTCTTATAATCATTAGTAAAGGTAAAATTTGCTTCATCTAGTTTTCCTGGATAATCATTTGTTGTAGTTTCCAGCCCTTTATAAGTATTGTCTGGTAGCTGATCAATGTTGTGGGGCTGCTGGCCGTCTTTGGTTCCTATATTTTTTACACTCCGGTGTTTTTTTTTTAATGTTCAAAACTAGTTAACATTCCACGCGGGGCTTGATTATATGATTTTCGTTTGGGAGAGTCGGTTAATACAACTGCTCAAGTGCTGCAGGAAGGTGTTTACTGCATACTCAAGTTTTATTACAAGTGTGAAGTTCATGTTGGCCGCACAATTGTGATCTTGATCTGCAGTACAGTGCTCAATCTTTACGTGTTTCTTGGGCATGCATAGTAATGTCTTGGTTTTCAGAGCAGGATATTCCTCAGCGAATTGCTTTTGGTGGTTTTATTTACTTAAAATCAGTCGAAGTTGGTACTCAAGATGTTCAACATTTTGCTAAACTAGTGTTGTCATTCTTTTTTCTTTCTTTTTTGGTATTTCCTTTTTTGGGCCATGATGAGTAGGATGGTGCTAATTTCAATATGTGGAATTGCCAAGTTTTTGATGATATACTTTAATGTTCTTTTGCAGATGAAGATTCTAGCTTTGACGCCTTGCAAACGTTGGCTGATTTATGCTTTAAAGCCCCCCAAGAAGTAACTGAGGATGGTTAGAGATATATATCTATTCTCCTTCTGATTTTGTCTTTTGAGTTAGAGCACACTTGAGCAATAAACAGAACACTGTATCATTGCATCATTGGCCTACACAACAGTGTAAATTCAAGAGTGCAGAATCTTGCACAGGGATAATCCATTGTTTGGTCGATGTGTTTAAACAATTTTTGCAACCACTTTCATAACCTCTCCAGGACATGTTTTTGGAGTTGTTTCTTGCTTTTGAACTTTGCTGAGCTACTGCCTTTATTCATTACTTTTTTTTGGTGTTGTGCAAAAGTGTATTTCTTTATAATGGTTTAGTTTACAATTAGCCTTGGAGTCTTATGTATTTTATGTTTTGTCTTTCATGTATATCTCAGTGTTTTTCAGCAATTAGTATTCGAGCATCTCATTCATTTTCTTTCCATTTTTTTCCTGGTCAGAATCAACGGTGCAGATTAAAGATGAAGGGGATCATGTGGATGAAATTGAGTCATTTGTAAATAAGCCCGCAGCACTCCAGAGGGATAAGCATAGACCCTTGGGACAGAAAACAAAAAGTGACAAATCGGTGGTGGCTAAACCTGAATTGTTTTCAAACAAAATGTTTAAACCGGGGAAAGCTTTAAACTCCGATGTTAATATTGTTCCTGAAGTGGAGCAGGAAAATTATCTGTCTAAATCTACAAGGAGAAGACCAAAGCCTGTTGGGCCAAAGGTAAGTCATATTTTAGTCTTTTCCTTGTTTATTGTCGATGTGATTTACCTGCCTCTAGATGATAAATTTGACTGTGAACTTTTTCAGATTAAGAAATTTGAAGCTCAACATCCAAGTGGTGATGTTATAGAACCTCAGGACGACGAGGTACTTCCATTCCCTCTATATGAAGGCTTTTCTCCTTGAAATTACTTCTTTCTGGGGAGGTTCCCAACAAACATATGAGTTTCTTCCCTGTCATAACTTTATGGCATATTTGTGCTCCTTATTAGCTTTACCTGGTGTGATTATATCTTTACCTTTTTGGAGCAAGAAGACTTATGTACCACTGCTTTTTGCAGACAAACGCCGGGAAGTTGAGTAGAAGCAAGAGATCTTCTCAAACTGCTTCTCCAAAATTGACAAAAAATGCAGAACATTCTTCTAATACTGATCTAAGAAGAGAGGGTAGTGATTCAGCTCAATCAGCTGTACAGGTCCCTCTACCTAACCAAACTAGCTCGCCAAGTAAAGTAAGGAGCAAGCGCAAGACTGACCTGAAGAAAACTGATGTACCCAAAGATTTGAAGGTTGCAGAAAAGCTTTTAAATGACAGAGCCATTGGACCTGTAGCTTCACCCGATGACACAGCATGTAGTCTTAAGGTAAGAGATCTTTTGCTGTTACAAAGTGCTGTTGACATTTGGGGTTAACCATTAAGATTAATTTACTTCGAATCACATGTTGCAGAAGAAACTTTCTAATTGCTTATCGAATCATCTGCTGAGGAGATGGTGTACATATGAGTGGTTTTACAATGCTATTGATTACCCTTGGTTTGCCAAAAGAGAGTTTGTTGAGTATCTAGAGCATGTCGGATTGGGACACATTCCTAGGTTGACTCGTGTGGAATGGGGTGTCATAAGAAGGTACTTTTCTTCTTTCAGTTGCAGGGCAAAAAATTGAATTTGAGGCTGTTTCACCTTGATACAAGAACTAAGCCTTGATTCCACCATGTGGAACGGGTCTTGTTTCACCTTGATGTATGGATAAAATTTATGGTCAATAATGCAATTGCATTCTCATCATCTGCAGTTCACTTGGAAAACCACGGCGGTTCTCTCAACAGTTTTTGAAAGAAGAAAAGGAGAAGCTTAACAGATATAGAGATTCTGTGAGAACCCATTACACTGAACTTCGTGAAGGTGTCAGGGATGGACTTCCAACAGATCTTTCAAGGCCTTTGTCTGTTGGACAACATGTTATTGCAATCCATCCAAAATCTAGAGAGATACATGACGGAAGTGTGCTAACAGTTGATCATTCCAGGTGTCGGGTTCAGTTTGATCGGCCTGATCTAGGTGTTGAATTTGTCACGGTAAAAAAGTGCTTAAGCATTTTATTTCTTTTTCTTGTTTTATCTTTTACTATGAAGTAATCAAATATGAAAATATCAAAGGTTACATATGGATATTTCAGCCTACTGTTGAATGAAGTTTTTGGTCAACTGTAACTATATTTCCGAAGAAAATTAGGTTCTAGGGCTTATGAGGAGGTATTTACATTTGCCGTATTAATCTTATAAAAGCCTAAGCTTTTATCAGTCTCATCCTAGATTTGTTTCATCATTATTTGTTCTGCTGGCAGAAAGCCTTGGTGAATATTCTTGCAAAATGCAATTGGCATTCGACCCCTTGTTTTGTATTTTGTCGAGTTAGCGTGGCCTTTTTATACAGAGGTTAAGGGCGACTGCATTTCTGTATTCTGTTTACCGTTTAATTGATGAAAATCTTTGTTACTTGTTGCATCATTGCAAGCATTATATGTTAGCTACAAATTATGGAGAAAGTAGCTGATACAAAAATTTAGAAGAAATCTTAAACCCTCAGTGTATGTCCCCCTTGCATGGGGATCTGTGGTTGATCTTCAAAGTGTTCATGTCGATTTGCACTATTCTTTCGGCTTTGTATCCTGTATGTTCAATTATTTTTCATCATGACCTAATTGTCTGTGGCAGGACATTGACTGCATGCCCTTCAATCCTATGGAGAATATGCCCACACTGCTTGCCAGACAATTTGACGTTGATAAGTTCTTTGAGAACTTCAATGAGCTCAGGATGAACGAACAAGCAAAGGATTATATGAAGATTTTACCTTCTGACAACCTTGAGAATATTAATGGTCTATCTCATTTGTCACCATCAACTTTCCATTTGAAGCAGACAAAGGTTTGTTATGTTTTTTAATTCTTTGTTACTTTGTATTTTATGGAAAAAAAATCAGTTGCATGTCCTTTGCTTTATTGCACTTATCCAGTAATATAGTATGATCAAAATGGTTCAGTTCCTTTTTCCTCATTGGTTTCTTAGCTGCGCGCAAGATTTATTACTTGGCAAACAGTATCGATGAAGATATTTGAGGGATGGGATGTTTAATTTTTCGTACTTAACTAGCCTTGGTGTAGTATCTTTCTGGTTTTTCACTTCCGCTTTTCTTGGGCGTCTCTACTTAACGTATTTCAGAATTTTGGTTGTTTGTGATTCAGATGCCCCACTCAAAAAATGGTAAATCGTATTAACCTCGAATCACAAAACTGCTTTATGAGATTCCTATCTAGCCACTGAAATAGCATAAATGAGAAGACTTCTACATTTCTATACCTATTTCCTGAAAGAACAGCCTTTCACTATCTTTTAATCTTTTACAACATCCTAAAATTCTCCGTTTGACCTGTTGTTGTACTCTCTCATTACTTGCACCGCAGTTTTCTTCTTCCCTTCAGATGTAATGGGACTTCTCTCTGAACTCCATTTGAGTTGCTATCCATTTATCATTCTGAAGTCCAAGCTGCATTTTGGCTTTGTACCGTACCAACTGCTTCCAATGGCAGCTAGAATCAATCTTGCTTTCCACACTCCAAAAGTCTGTCTTTAACACACACTCCATGTATCCATCCTACCCATAGAGATTATCCTTTTTCATGGTTGTGTGCCGGATCAAAATGGGAAATGTTTACCCATATCCTTTTTCAGATGCGAACTCCGAGTTAGCTCATGTTTTGTAATTGATGAATTAAAGTGAACTCATTATGGTATTGATGTATCTTTAGAGCATCTCTTTTGTTATGGCTGCTCAATTTATGAAATATACTCCCTCCATCCGAAAATGATTGTCCAGTTTGGATTTTGTTTAGTACTAGTAAATGTGAAATCTAAACTGGACTATCATTTTGGGACAGAGGGAGTATTACTTTTGGCCAGGCTATGGACTTAGATCAAATTTGATTTTCAGGCCTCAGAAGATGCTAATTTGCAAGCTAGAGTTGGAACTAGACAAACACTTATCTACCATCCAATGCCTTATCCTCAGCCAGCTACCACAGCTCAAGTTCAGGCCAAGGAAGCTGATGTTCAGGCTCTAGCAAAGCTAAATCGCTCTCTTGACAAAAAGGTTAAATGCTTATACAGTTCTTTGCAGATATTTCTTGCTTGTTTGATACTTTTTCAAGCTGCTTTCATGTTCAACATCTGGTGCCTTGCTGTAATTTCTTCAGTTTTATGATTAAAAAGAAATAGCTGATCTCTTCAGTGCTGTTGTAGTTTTTGTTTTGGTACCTGATATATGGCATTCTCATGTTTTATTGTTAATGTGGATTACATCTTTGGTTCTATTTGAGAAAATATTTTACTTTCATGTGGGGGTGTTGTTTCCCTATTTGGGTTCTTTTCAGCGGACAAAAGCATTCCATTTCTGGAGAAGGCAGTCTGGTTGTACTATTTAAATGTACCTTGGTTTTTTCAGGCTCTTTTGCCTTCATTTGCATCATGTTAATGATAATTCTTTCGATTACTAGTTGCATTTAGATGTATAGTTTTATTGAATATATATTTGTTGTAGTATTAATATAATATCTTTTTCTTACAAACATCTCATGAAGGCTGTGTTTGGAAAATGCAGGAAGCTTTAGTTTCTGAGTTGAAGCGCTTGAATGATGATGTGGTGGAAAATAGCTCTCTCAAAGAGTCAGAGTCTTTTAAGAAACAATATGCAGCTGTACTTGTCCAGCTGCATGATGCGAATGAACAGGTGTGTATTTTCGATGAATTGAGGTTTGACTCTTTCTATATTGCTCTTGGTGCAATTTAATCCCTGTACCTTATGAGCATCCCGATGTTTCTCGTTGCAGGTTAATTCTGCTTTGATTAGCTTGAGACAACGCAATACATATCCAGGAACTACCTCACTATGGTTGCGACCCATAGGTGATCCCAGTCCTACATTGAACTCTCTGGATCGCTCTATTTGTGAATCTAATGATTCTCGGTCTCAAGTTAATGAAATTATCGAAAGTTCGCGGAGAAAAGCGAGGACAATGGTTGACGTCGCAATGCAGGTATGATGTGGGATTTTGAAACTTTGTGGTCTCCTTGTCAAACTTAAAATGTCACAGGTGACTTATCGTGTGTCACTATGTTGATTTTGACCAATGCAAACAGTGGGTTTTTCCATAAATATTTCCCTGTTTGGATTTGGAAACTTTTGAAATAAATTTTGTACCTCTTGCCCAAATGCCCAATGAATTTGGTAGCTGTAGGCTGTGATGTTGTTTTTGTACAGATGCGGATGATGAATGCAATATTTGTTTTCTCAATTTTCTATGCATTCTGATGGTGCTTATTTGATTTCTTCCTTGAACATTAGGCAATGTCATCATATAAGGTTAAGGAGCACACGAAGATTGAAGAGGCTATTGATTATGTAAATGAGCAGCTTCCTCTAGACGATTCATCCATTTCAGCCGTAAGATCATTTCCTGCATGCAAACCTCAATTGGTTGCAATTGCATTCCAACTTATCCCTAGATTATTTTGCTCCTTGTAGGCTCCCGAGACGGATGCCAAAGTCGCAGCAGACAAGAATGAGGCACCTGTACCGTCGGAGCTTATCAGTCAATGTGTTGCCACTCTGCTTATGATTCAGGTGCTTATTTGATCACTTGTTCTGTTTCTTTGTGCTTTGAATATACCCATTTCTCTACCTCTCTTCTTCCTTTTACACTGGCAAACTACGTAGATACATTTGCCATAGCAGCTGTTGTTTTCAGCGATTACAGAGCAACTTATATCTGTTTACTCCGCTGAAACTGATGGAATGAAAAACCCAAGTCGGTAACAGTAGACGGTTTAATAATACTTATGTGTATTTTTTGCTCAATTATTCCAGAAATGCACGGAACGGCAGTTCCCGCCTGCCGATGTGGCCCAAATATTGGATTCTGCCGTAACGAATCTGAAGCCTTGCTGCCCGCAGAATCTTCCGGTTTACACTGAAATACAAAAATGCATGGGAATGGTCAAGAACCAAATATTGGCCCTTATACCTACATAAGGCTTTGGCAAAATCGAAACACCACCTTGTGTCCGAATTGTAGATAATTCATTTCAACACACTTCTTTCATTGTTTTATGACGATTGTTCTTTTTTTTATTATTCTTAACTTTAAATGAAATGTGTTATTTGCTCTGCTGTTGTATCTCAAGAACTCGCTCAAGATGGTCTCCGTTGGGTATCTATGACGAACCAGACCTCTCCAGCGTTTCATTCGAATTGACATAGTTTAGATCTGACGAACTCCTAAACCTAAGTGATTATTGTGTCAGATCATAAGACCACGAATCAGGAGTTAGAATCAAGCAAACCAGTTATCCTAGATCGTGTGTATATATATATATATATATATATATATATATATATATATATATATATATATATATATCACAATGCAATGAAGAACAAGAACCCCGTTACTTCAGAAATTAACAATTAGTATAAGAGTAAACTCTTAGATTGGTTTTGTACATCTGGTCATATTTAAATTTTGGTCTCAATACTAATATTGATATTTAAGTGGAATGGTTTCATAAACATCATAGTTCATGAACTTTTTGGCCAATCCACTTTTCCGCTAATATTTTCGTTGACAGTTGATCCTTATCAGGGATATTTTTGGTACTTCAATTTTGGAAATTTAAAACAAAAATCTAAATTTTAAGTTGAAAATTTTCAATTTTCGATACTGAATATTGTTGACATCACCCATGGGCGAGATGAGAATGGAGGAAAATAATTCCCGGTACTGGCTGACGCCACCGACGACCAAGATGACATAATCAAATAGAGAAAAATAAAATGACATTGGAGGGGTTTCAACGCAAAATGACTAATCACCAGGCTAAATCATAATTCTGCAATAATTTATAAGCACATTTTTAAACTAACAATAAAGGTGGTTTAATTAATTAATTAATTGTTAAATTTCTAATTCATTGATTAAACCACTAACTGAGAATTCATAAGTAACTATGAAAGATTAATTTTTTATTTATTATTTTAATCAAGGTCCGGTTATTATAATAATAACCAAATGCCGAGTATTAATATTTATTTTATGTGATCAAATGTTGATTATATATAAATTTCTCATTATTGTATATAATGATCAAGTATCGGTTTAATTAATTAAATAAGTCATGTTTGTTATAAATATAAACTCTATAAAACTGAGTGAAAGAATAGGTAGGGAGAAAGAATAATAGGGAAGAAGAAAGAGAGAAATATTGAGGGAGAAAGAGAGAATGATTTATGTATTATTTCTGCAGAGACTGATCTCTTTTATAACAGCTATAGAGATAAGAGTAAATAGAGATAACATTTAACTGGTGATAAGATTTAATAAATATTATCTCTATTCAAAAACTTCTTATATAAGTCTACTAGTTTGTGGACATCTATATTATCAGATAATGATAATAATATTTGGTTAATTGATTCTTTTTGTGGACATCCATATTATCAGACAATGATAACAGTATTTGGTTAATTGATTCTTTCTTCACTTTATTCATTGATCAATTAGTTTAATTTTTTTCGGTTTACTAATCAATTAATTTAAGATATTGATTAACTCAAAAAACAAACTTTAAGCTAATAATAAACAAATTATTTCTAAGAATTAATCGATTGTTTTTTTTAATAATTTGTTTAATCAATGAATAATTAATAATTAATTATAAATCTATAATTTTGTAAGTAAAAAAGATTACAAAATTGTGTAACCAATCAATATAATTTAGTAAATCATTCATTATACTTGTAAGAACTGATCTTTCTTGATTATGGAACGGATATAATAGACAAGAACTCGTGCCGATATTTACAATGTGAATTAATCAAATAATCAACAATGAATTTTTGAAATTACAAATTCTCCAAAATAACAAATCCAACTTAACCAGAAAACAAAATACTCATACCAAATTAGGGTGACGCGCGACTAATGACAGAATTAGTTCCCTTATAGTACAACTGCCCAATCGACTAATAAAAGATCGCAATGAATTACAAAATTTCCGTTTTCCACGTAACCATATTTAAGTCAAAATTTCTTTTCAATCAATGAACAATTGATAAGTTTGATTTAAATCTAAATAATACTCTCCCGTCCCACAAAAATAGTCCACATCAAGTTTTGAGTATTGTACTGTTTTTAGTACAAATTTGAAAATTCAACGTGAACTATTTTTTTCGGGACGGAAGTAGTATTAACTTTACTTGGGCATGGAAGTCACGCAGCAGCGCAAATTTTCTGCGTTTGCTAAGGGTAGCTATCTATCCCATCCACAATTTCAGAACTCTATCTCTACCACCAGATGCTACTTTTTCACCGTCTGGACTCCAATCAACTGCGAAAACCTATTAAAATGCCAAACCCAGATACCAGATTAGAAAATAATCTCTATAAACTTAAAAGAAAGAGTAGCTATAATTTGCTCATTGGAGGAGACTAACCTCATCGGCATGTCCTGGAAGGTCTTGTTTTAACTTTTGCGTGCGGATATCCCAAACCTAAGAATCCAACCCAAGACAATCAGATACTTGCCAACTAATTAAAACAATTTTTTACATCCACTCGGGTAAAAGAAAATCATGAAAAAACCATTTTATTTATTTATTTTTTTGAAGCATGAAAGAACCATATGTAACTTAGATTATTTCGTCAACATCATCATCTAGAGTTAGGCGATAAGTAATTCAAATTCAGTGAAAAGACGGTACAAACAAGTTCATCATATCATGTCGCTAGATATTGCTTCCTTCCTAAATGGAAAACATTTATCTACTGCACAAAGAATCCATATAACTACAAAATGGAAACTAAGTTACCTACCTTCAAAGTCGAATCTTTGCTCCCACTTAAGAGTAGACGACTGTCAGCAGACCAACTGCAGGAGTGTAATAATTAGCTGCCTGTTTTGTCTTTGGTTTTTTTTTTTTTTTTTTTTAAAAAAACTAATAAATCACTCAAAGAAGGTCCAACCTTATTTGATAGACAGGTCCCACATGACCTCGGAAAGCTGCAACGAAGTTCCCTGTGGCACCATTCCAGAGTTTGACAGACTTATCAAATGAGGCGCTGGCAATCCACTTTCCATCAGGAGAAAAGTAGACATGATTCACAAGCTGCAAAATATCAAGTTCTGCTTTATTACAATGTGAAGACCATCAACTAGTAAATGGATCTGTTATACTTCGGGCAGCAGTAATTGGAAAGCAAGTACCATGCAATCCCCATTCAGTTCCAACCGTTTTTCTTGTAATTATAAAGAAAATTCATTCAAAATAATTTCTAGTTGCAGATTTAGCACATTTGCTGTTAACTAAACAGGAACTAAACAGGCACGAAATCATGTCCATCAAACATCAACTAAAATTAAACTCCAGGGCAAATGGTAAACAAAACACAAGATGTTAATTTTGAAAATTATTTTGCTTCGTACCAAAGTACACCTCCCAACTATACTCTTCAAGCAGTCGCTCTTTTTCTAAAGTTTCTCCCACCTTCTCCTAACAACAATATTTTTGCACGTGATCTTTTTAAAATGTCAACAGTAAGTTCCAAATGCTAATAGTGAAACACCCATTTTCCATTTAGACTAATAATTACCATTATTGTGAGGGAGAAAACATGCAGTAGGACCTATTTATCTTTAATTAATATTACCAACCCTCTTCACGATATTCAGACAAGATTATTTTTAATTTTGACACTAAGAAGCCAAAACAACTTTCTTCCCTTAGGTCACTAACTTCATAAGAAATTTCACATTCCAAAAAATTAGTAAGTTCTGGGTAAAAGGTACCAAGAAAGAAAGAAGGGTAGAAAACAAAGCCAGAAGTTTAGTTACTGAAAATTGCAGATATGGATCTGTAAGCTTGATTAAATTCTTGAACAGTTAATGAACTGCCAAGCACTAAATCCAGTAAGAGAGAGAACGAATTAGCATGCAATTGAGTATATCCTTCATATGCCCGCTTTGGTGCCGCTGCAATCTTTCCCTTTTAGGAGACATCAGTCAGCGCGAGGCAAGCGAAACTTCATATTGACCCACATTAGGGTAAAAATGAAATTGAAATTTCACAAAACATGATTAATGCCAATGAAAGGACAGATACATGGATCAATCCCCCCCTCTCCCCCCTCGATTTCTGTCAAAACAAGTGCAGATAAAAAACTGCACGACATAAAAAAGACGAGCAGCCAAAATAATCATACCTGCTGATGTCCTGTCATACGAGCTTTAGGATGCTTGCTAACAGAAGGCTCCCACAAAAACATAGTGAAATCATCTGAACCAGAGACCAATCTCTCTGGAGCAGTACCCCTCATTTTGTTATACCTTTCTAAAGCTACCTGGTGCAAAACAAACGCATGAAGATAAGGCATGGAAAAGAAAACTCAATGTGTTTGGAGTGGAATAGAATATGAAGCTAAACCCCAAAAAATTTAATATAATTAATTTTTCCGCAGTCTCCTCATAACCTAATCAGTACCAAAACCAGTCCATATTTCACAGCTAAATGTAACATCATAATGACCTGAACTACTTGATATCCAGATAGAAAATTCTTTTCGTCAGCCAACCCGTTACACAGTAACTCACTTTCCACCTTCCAAGTTAAAAGTTTAGTGTTGAAAACATGTCAAGAGTATAAAGAGCTACTTACCGAAATTAATTACCTAGAAGCAACCATGAACAATGGTATATAGATGGTTTTCTCACAATACCTGATTTATTTATTCTTCCCTTCCCCCCCCAATGGTAAATGGTGAATCGGGTCGACTGACCAAACACCATGCTTTTGAAGATTTTATTGTGGAAAAAGGCAATCATGGGAACAGGATATCAATAATGAAACAACCGATTTGATGGGAAAGAAGACACCACATTACCTACAAAGATGCCACAACCGATTGAAGTTTGTAAATCAATTCCGAATTTGAATTTTTAATTCATTGCATTCTAAAAGCCATCTTTAACATTTACTAAAAAACTAAGAAAAATTCAATAGCTGATCAGCCCTGTGCTTCAATATTTGTAGGTAATGTTTACATGGGCATATTTTTCACGCAGCTCAGGTTTAAATCAACAGATCCAACCACGCCTAAGCAGTAGTCTCATTGGTTATGGTCTGTAATGATAATACTTTTTGGATAAGAAACAGGTATCCAGTAATCATAAGCATAATCTAACTTTGAAATGGTTTTCCAATGAACATGAGCAGCAAAATGCCTCCAATTCCCTGGGCATCACTAGTAACATGATAATTGTAGAACAAACCGAATGATAACATAAATAGAAACTCGTTAAATTACCTTCTTCATTTCCTCAGGAGATGAGAACTGTTTACCAGTATGATCAAAAGCACCAGTTCGCAGAACATACTCTGTGCTCAATGCCAGCGAATTTACCCAATGACCATGACCCTACATTCAAAGGCCAGAAGAAAATTAAAGATTCTAGGGAGATGAGACAAAGTGAGTGGCAGAATAAACTGAAGCTAATGAAGCTCAAGTAGCAAAAAATATTCTCAACAATCTTTTTCCCACCTCAGACAATATGTGACTTTGGAAAGCTTCTGGAGTGGCAATTTTGCAAAAGTAACTACTAAATGATGCAAAGTACATAAACATACATGAATTTGTCATGGTAAAGATGACTTCCAGTGGCACAAAGATGATGAAAAGTTGCTAGACCAAAATATGGTAACACTCAAAACTAACAAATAAAAATAAATCTATTAATAGAGGAGCTGAGTTATGCTTCTTTACCTTTAATTCACGTATTAGCTTTCCCTGCGTTGTCTCCCATACTTTGATTGTGCAATCTTGAGATCTATCAAGGCAAACAAGAAAATCATTTGCAACTTGGAACTCCAATTCCAATTCAAAAAGAGCATCACGCAGACTAGAACATCCGCAAGACATAAACTAAAAAGAGTATTCAAAAGTAAAAAAAAAAAAAAAAGAGTAGAAAATGTACCCAGTATATATAACACCATCCCCACCCCATTTCACACAAGTCACTGCAAGGGTGTGACCGGTAAGAACAATCAGACATCTTCTCGAGGTAGCATCCCATATTCGTGCATCACCATCTTTGCTAGCACTAACGAAACGGCGACATGGGGAATTTAGATGCACTGGCTCCCAGGATATTCCAGTTATCCATTTTTTATGACCCTGCAGCATAAGGCAAATGAAATGTAAAGCACAACCATATAATGTTCATATTCTTTCTTCTGGTTCACCTAAAAAAGGAATAGTAAATGCCAGAAGTTAGAGAAAAGTCGGTCAGCCTAGACATATCAAAGCAAAGCATTATCCACACTCAAACCTTGAGAAAGAATGCAAGACCAGATGGCCAAATCCAAAACTAGTGGAAAAAATTCAGGTGCCAACTCTTTTCCAGCCAGGATTGTACCACAATATGTTTCATTTAATGACTATTTTGTATTTTTGGTAGATTGCCCATCCAAAAAAGGTATTTACTTAAGACACATACATAAAAACCACATGTTTTAAGAAGTTTTCATCTTTACACTTTAAAATGTGATTCACTCCCTAATTTAATTGAATTATCCGGCAAAAGAAATTATAAATCTTGTAGTTGGAAAAACGGAAAAACTTTAGTAGTATAATAACTGTAAGTGATAAAACTGTAACAAAGACATCTTACATGCATGGAACTTTCAAACATGGGTAAAACTCTGTCAACAGTATCAAATTTAAAAAAAGAAAGGCAAACCAAATAGATTTGTTAACTCTAAACAACTCTATTATGGTTGCAATGCGTTACTCGTTCAATAAAAGATATCACTAGAATGACAGACATATAGACCACTTCTCACATTTAATGGTCTCTTACTGTAGGTTTACAATGCAAAGTCCAATTTTAATTTAATAATTGGAAATGATGAGCTTTGACTTGAACTGGTGAATTTGTCACAAACGGCTTTTGTCTTTTTTGTTTTTATGTTTTTAGATAAATCATATTTCCTCATGGGTTAACCGATCTGTCAGAAATATCAAACTTAAAATTAAAAAGCACGCTAAGGAAGACAAATGTTTTCAAAAAAGCACATCAACCTTTCCCTTTAACGATCCACATTAAGTTAGGTATAAAGCAGTTATTAAAACTCCATAAAACACAGTAGTATGTGGTGTTAGTTTTCCTGGAAGGAATCTTTGTTTGTTCAGGATATGATATGCAAGAGTAAGAACATTAATGTCAAAAATGGCCATTTCGTGTAATCTACACGCATCAAATGGCAAGTGGTCATTCTTTCCAACTAGACATTATCATCAGGAATCATATCAACAGGATTTCAAAGCAATTGAACACATTTTGAAATAAAGTGCCAACAAGAAATAAACAAAGTTCAGGGAAACAGGTAATTCTTAAGACATACAATAAGCTGATTTCCCGACGGCAACCCGGTCTTAGGGTCCCAGCACTGCAGTTCTCCAGACTTGCTACCGCTAACAAGATATTTGCCATCAGGTGACCACGCAATACAAAGAACCCAATTCTTGTGCCCTGCCAATCCAACATGTATTGGCCAAAGTATACAACTCAGAGTAGTACTGAATTAGAGCATTCTCATAGTGAAGAAGTAATCAGGCACGCAATTCAATCATGGCTCTCTTCAAAACTCATCAACGCTAAGCAGATAACAAAATAAGGACTATGTCTAGTATTGCAGTCTACATTCCTAAAATAGTAAATCCATCTATATATAATTTAGTGAACCCACACCATACGTCTTACTAGCAAGACATCACTTCAATTCCAATAAAGTAACAAACTCATTCCAAGCAAGTTCAACCAAATCAGTATTTGCATCCAAATGCTAAAACCAAACAGCAACAAAGATAAAACCAACAACAAAAACAACTTAGCGTTTATTCAATATGTGATGCAACAAAATACGCTTAAGATCCTTCACAGCAACGTTCTTAACATTGAACCCAACATTGTCACCCCAAAAAGAAAGAAACGAAGAGGAGAAATAAAGAAGAAAAGAGAAGCTGTTATTATAGCATGTTTCAAGTCACATCATACCACTATAATAATATACACTATAATAATATAGAGAGTACAAAAAAGATCTAGCTAAGAGCAAAAGGGTGTCAAACCTTTACATGTGAATAAAGGTGTCTGAGTACTTAGATCCCACAAACGAACAGTCGTATCTCCGGAACCACTAGCAAGCTGCTGTCCATCAGGACTAAAGGCAACCGAAAGCACAGCTTCTGTATGACCTGCATGGTTTAATTACAAGATTCAAATATCAGACAAAAGTGTGAGGATAGTTGTATGGAAGATTGGTGATGGGCAATGATCAACAAAAAACAAGGAGAATGGAAACATAACTAATCAGAGAAGTAGGCCTTTCTGGAAACATTTTAAGACTCAATAACTGGAGCAGATTTCATGCATAATATAAACTACAAATCAGAGAATTTCTGAAAGGAGATTTTCTGTATGCCCATTTTTGTTTCAAAATATGACTAAAGAGGTCGGTAATATTCACTTCTGGAGCTAGGTTACTAACAAGAGCATTGTGTAGCATAAATATCAAAAGATCAACCGCTTAACTGAATGAAGCAAAAGTTCCTTCCAAGATATAATGAAAGGCATAGCAGGGGGGGAAACAAAAGCAACAACAGAATTAAAAAATAGAGCACTAGGAAGTTCACATAAGAGAAAACATAACTTATCAACAAAGAGCAACATGTTTCGGTTGTCAAACAGGTAGTTTTTTACAAAACCTAAAATAAACAATCTCAAAAAAAAAAAAAAAAATTACCAGCAATTGTTGCGGAACAACGAGAAACTGGACGAATGCGGAAAACGGCTTGAGGCTGATACACTATGGTGAGGACCTTCTCCACCGATACTGCAAACAAAAATCCATGAAGATCAAGCAATGACAGCTCTTCAACGAGAACTGTGAAATGATCCAGCAGTATTACCCTTTTTTCTTGTTAAATAAGATGAAAGGTCCTCTAAAAGCTCTTGGTCTGATACATAAAATGCATAAGGGAACCTTTCTTCCTGAAAAAGGAGAAGAAAAAGCAAAGGAAGTAGCAGCAGTCAAGTTACTGAAGCTTGAAAGAGTAAAAGCTAAAATCATAATGCAGAACCCTGCAAACCAAGAGTTAAGTCGATGAACAATGCCCATCTCGTAGCTAAATACATAGAAATAACAAGGGGTTCCTCTTCAGTTCTTTCAACACATAAGGTAAAAGACCTCTCATCTCAAAACAAAGTAACAGGAGTAATTTGTCTGACCTAAACCTAAACAAATTACTGACACCATACATTTCTAAAAGAAAGTGTTCCACCTAATTACGGTTCTGATCATACAACACCTCATTTCCAGCATTGCTGATTTTTCCGACAGAGACATTGGAAAGATATAAAAGGTGCGACAAAAACACCAAAGCCAGAAACTCAGCTCAAAACCCAGATTCCAATTCTTATGAATAATCCAACATCCACCAAATTAAGTTCAAACACATCCAGAAACAGAAGATAAACCAATTACTTCAATCCTTAAAACCAAACTGACTAAAAGAAGCAACAAACTTGAAATTAAAAGAAATCAAGTATCAACAAAATTACAGCTTGAATAACATACATAAGGGCAACCTTTTAAAGGGATTGTAGAAACTAACATTGTGAAGAAGTTGATTGACAATTTGAGTGAGTTCTTTAGGTCCAGCACTCTGAGGAAGATACATTGCAGGACCCAAAGTGGCGCCTTCTGGGTCCGATAATTGGCACATAACGTTGTTGCTGCTGACTTCCTTTTGATGCTCAGCTTCGCCTTCCATGTCGACCTCCATTAATCTGGTTAGCTTACTCTGTATTCGATAAACTTTGAAATATAAAAAAAAAGTTGCAAAATTTTTATCCTTCACCAAGCAGCAGCCTTTCTGCCTCAGTCTTCCTTCTCTGCAAAAATTAGGGGTTTTGGTGTTGGCAGGGTTTACGTGTTTTGTGGTGCGGGCCCCTCCTTTCAACTTTTTTTAATGTTTAATTTTTAATTCTTTTTTATAATTTATTGTGAAAAAAATAAAAAATAAAAAAATCATACTACATTGGTTGTAAATTTGTAAAGGCTACTCAAAACAAGTTTCAATTTAGGCCGCTTTATCAAAAAAAAAAAAATTAAAATAAAATAAAAAATAAAATAAAATAAAATATTTAGGCCGTTTGTTTGAGAGGACTATTTTCCACCGTCTTGAAATATTTATGTTGTAATTCCCCATTGTACATTTTAAAGTTCGTATATAAAATGAGCCATTCTTTAGGCGTCAACAAATTCGTCAAGTTTTTCCTATCAATGTCGACTCCACCACAACAGTCCCACTCCCGGCCGCAACTGGCCCGAGGAGAAAGCAGCTCCGCCGTCGCCGGTGGAGGAAGCATGGATGACGTCCTCGGCGCCGACCTCGTCAACAACATCCTCTCTCGGCTTCCGGCGAAATCTTTTGCATTCGCGGCTTGCGTTAACCACTTTTGGAATTCCATTTGCTCACGGATACTCTCTGTCCCTAAACTCTCCACCGCCATTTCTCTTAACCCCTCACTTGACGTAATGTTCTTTTTTCCTTTCCTTCCCCTTTTTAAGTAGTGTATTTGATTATCAAATACCGAAATTGAATTGAATTGAAAATGGATAGCAGTAATTGACTGATTTAATTTTCGCAGGGTGCTGTGAATGAGGTTATGGAGAAAGTTATGTCGGAGCCAATTCGACCTCATTTCGTCATCGCTTCCGTTGGTCCTGCATTTAGCGTGGACCGTGCCCACGACCTCGTATGTAACTTTTTTGTTCTTTTTTTTTTTTTGGAATCGTATCACATGTAGTTTTCCATGGACATCCGTAAATTGTTTTTATTCATGATGAACTGTTGCAAAACCTAACGTGGATGTGCTGGACCAAGTTGCATGCTGGAGAGTGAACTTTGTTATTTGATACTGATATTTTTATTTTTTGAACTTTTGTTTTTGTAATTGTTTTTCTTGTGGGCTGCTCAGCGGTAGTCAGCCATGCTTTACCATCTTGCTTAAGGTTCTGTTCGTCGGTATGTGTATTTGTGAAAAAAATGCTAATTGGGCACTAGATTGGTTTTCTTGTTAGAAATGTGAAGGTATATGATTAAATACTGCCAACTGAAAGGAGTAAATATGTTGGAAAAGAACCTGTCTTATGTCTTGGCTTTTAGGTCTGTTTTCATATACAGTGGTGTATAAGGCTCAATATCGGCCTTGTTTCATACAGTTTACTTGGTACTCATTTGAACATGTAAAATGCTAGAAGAGTCAAGAGAAGGTTGACTGTCTTATGTTGACTATTTGGCAGATCAAGAGAAGGTTTGGCTCAAGTGTTCCTGTAGTTACATCCCTGTCTAATGGAATCATTGGGAGAGATGCAATCACTAACGAATTTAAAGAGGTCAATGTCTTATCTCGAATTGTGTAAATTTAAGATATATTCTAGTCAAATTGAAGTTTCTGTTGACTTTTCCTGTAATATTTGACTATTACTGTAATATAGCTGAGGTTTTCTTACTTTTGATCCACGAAATTTCGATTGCCAGGTTGAGTGGGAAGTTGTAGAGAATGATGAAGATCCTGAAGGAGATCTTTTGCCCAATGAAGGAATATTAATAACTGTTGGTTATCTGCCGGGATTGAAAGTTACACTGGTTCCAATGCCATCCTTTGATCGTGATGCAAAAGGGAAAAAAGCGGTAAGACTTGGTTCTCTAAAATTTACGTTATTCTTAGAGAAACTGAATTGCTGCTAAGATATATACTATCTCCTCAGACATGGTTCAGAACCTTATATTTTAACTAGGTCTGACTATAGTAGTCTTCTTCTTGACCATGTATTCTTTCATCTCATAGAAATTACACCGAGTGCTCTTACTGTTACTCTCCTGGAGTACCTTTTATGTGTAAACTACTCTGGTGTGTCCATTAAAGAGTCCATTAAAATTCTCTGGATTAGTTTACTACTTGTGGTGCTTATGGTTAGGAGGGTTACTCGTAGTAAAAAAAAAAAAAAAAGTTTCAGTTTCAAATTATGAAATATGGCAATGTGGCATCTAGTTATCCACATTGTTGAACCACAAAATCACTGCTTTAGAGTTCCCAGTTACATATGCATGACAGGATCTTTTGGTTTCAAGCTGGTCTAGTTAAACAAAGTATCTCAGACTACTCAATACTAGAGTCTCCATGTGATCAACTAATGTAGACTTCCTGTGTGGAATTACAGGCCCTTCTGATTGATGAATTTGTGATGGACATAAGGAAGTGTGCTTTCACCACGCCGGCCATGACCCCTTCTACAATCATATTGTTTTCTGTAAGACTTGCCCCTATGATTCTTCTTTTGATCTTCCTATGTGGTGGAAACTATAAGTGTAATGGAGAACAATGCAATGGCAGTTCTTTCATTCCACCGCATTATGGTAGATAGCTACATGATGGCTTCAAATCCTTCTTAAGAGAATTCTTCTAGTTTTTATCTTTAAACATGGCATGTGTCTCCACAATCTATAGTAAAAACACACACAAAAAATAACTCGTAAAGAATTGGGACTCATCACATTTGATTAATTATTATTACACGACCTAACTGAGAAACAACATCGAGTTACTATGTTGTAATTTTATAAAGAAACTTAGTGAGATAAAACAAATTTCATCATTTGTTGTGAAATTTTTTTTTCTTTCTTTTTTTTTTTTTTATAAAAAAAGAACACTTTTAGTTACTTCTACCATTTCTTGTTCATAATAAATGGTATAGGGTTCTCTCTTTTTGTTGTTAATGCACATATGAAATGTTCGTTAGTGTATGAAGAACGTGTAGTACGCATTCATCAACACAACTATGAATGGCTATGCAATGCTTATTCCCTTATAATAACTAAATATTAAGTTTAGCGAATTCTTGAGTCCAGCTAAGCTATTGAGTTTGAATATTTTTTATAATTTTCTGTAACGAACTTAAGAATTAAATTTTGATTTCTGATTTTCCAATTTTTCATTCCTTTAAAGGTATAGTGCTATCCAATGCGTTTTACAAATAGATAGGTTAAATTTTATTTTATTTTTTTAAGTTTTCCATGAAAAAGTGCAACGAATGATCGAGTATAAATGTCTATACATTGTGTATTAGTATAATTAACATGATTTTATTAGTTTAATTTATGGTTTGCGTTATTTAAAATCATCTTCATAGTTTACCCCAAGTAAAGTGATGTATCTTGATACAGAATGAATGAAATTGATTGGATTTATGATGAAATCCTTCCTTTTGAAGGAGTAATAAATGGAAAGATAACTATTAATTGTTTAAATTGTGATTGTTGTTTTACTTTTTTCTGTTACAATTACTTAAAATATTTTATCTTTCAAGCATGATATTTGTTAATAATTGGAGTAGTACATGTCATATTTAAGTGTTGCAGGAGTGTTATACAAATTCTGTCAAATCCCAGGTTAAAATTTTCTGATTCCTTGCATATCTTGGTTCCTCTTCTCGGAGTTATAGGTTATGCTTATGCATGCTGTCAATTTGCACGAAGAATATTCAGTTTAACCATTTCCACTGACATGCCCTTTTCTTTTTCTTTTTTGGGGGCGTTCTTTCATATGAAATTGCTGATTGCCTAGGACCTTACAACCGACATGAGACCTGTACTTCAAAAGTTGGGTAAGTATTGTGGTAGCTATATCATTGGTCTTAGATATGTTAAAAAATCGATTCAGATGTTCGCTTTCTTTTTTTTAATTCTGTAAATCTACTTTGGTAAAGGCTTTTGCTTTTAGTGATCAATGGTTACTTTGAACTGTCCAAATATAACATAGGACCTTAAAATCAACATGAAACCTGGACTTAGCTATATCATTGGTCTTAAATATGATAAAAAAAATTGATTCAGATGTTTGCTTTCTTTTTGAATTCTGTAAATCTTCTTTGGTAAAGAAGTGTGATTTTAGTGTTCAATGGTTACGGTGTACTCGGTCCAAATATAACATAGGGTATCTGCTTTCAAACTGGGGATGTTTTGAAGTAAAATGTGCTTGGAGCTTCTTTGCCATTCAATGAAATTGGAGCTGTTACTGTACTCAGAATACTTCTTTCTTGTGTTTGCAGAATATGTGTTTCCCGGAGATACCGTAATTCTAGGGGAAGGTAGTCGTCGGCACTGCTACAGGAGTAATTGGATCACCAGAGTACATGAACATGACCCTGCTATTGTTGCTCTTGTGTTTTTGAAGGATGGAAACAAGCCCCCTGGTATTTTATGTTTTCCGTTGAATTCTCTTTTTGAAGGATGAAAAGAAGCCCCCTGATTTTTTATTTTCCTTTGAATTCTCTTTTTGAAGGATGGAAACATGCCCCCTGATATTTTTTGTTTCCTTTGAATCCTCAATTGAACTGCCTTTTAAGTGCCCTCTCCATCCCAAAATTATTGTCCAATTTGGATTTTCATATTTAAGTACAATTTGTATTAAAAGTGAAAAATCCAAATTTGTCCAATCATTTGGGGATGAAGGGAGTATTAGTTTTTAGGAAAGTGCCCTTTTGCTGTGTGAAATGTGGTATTTTTTTCTGGTGATTGACTCATCTTTTATCTTTCTTCTCAATATTTCCTGAAAGCGAAAGCTGCAAACAGAATCAGGCTCGCAGTCTAGAGTCTAAGTGGATGTCGTTATTTGTTATTCACATATTGTGCTCCAGACCGTAGTTTCTGGTGGATTTATGTTTTTCTGGGTTCACTTTTGTTCATCTCTTTAGGCTGTTTGTAACTTAATAGAACTTGGTGTCATTCCTTTACTGTGTTAACTATTGTCTTGAATCATGATCTTTATGCATGGCTTTCCAAATCTATGATTTGCACTTTTATTGATTACTGTTTTGAATCTTTATTTTGTGATCATTTTTAAGTTTGGTTGTGTATTTCCAGCGACTGATTTCATAATAAAACTTTCAAAGCAGGAATCGGGGAGATTCAGTTTCATGCTACATTATCAACCGGATTAAGGCCTGTTGGCCCCGTATATCGGGCAGTTTCTGTCAAAGAGAACAAGAAGCGATCTACATGGTTGACTGCAAGAAGCGGTGCTGCCTATGAGAATCTTGATGGCAGAACAATTTTAGATAATATATATAATGAGGTAGCATTTTCTTTGGGTTATATTTGCTGTTTCATGGAATAGAGGTGATTTATTTGATGTCTATATGTTATTTTATGCGATATGAATAGTGGAATTGAACAAACGGTAGATACTGCATTTCTTCAAGACGAAAACTTGCTTTAAAATAAAGAAAGGCAAAGGAATGTGTTAATAATAGAATTCTGGAATTTACCTGTCAATCTGTGTAAAAGCATTGCGTTTCTTTTCTTCTCTCTCTCTCTCTCTCTCTCTCTCTCTCTTTTTTTTTTTTTTTTCCTGATTGACCTTTGAAATCTCACCTAATAGAAGAATTTGCTGAAAGCCTGAAACTGATACCTTTGTAACAAAGCCTACCTCTGGAATGAATGGCTTATGCTTTTCCAAGTTATGTTGAATGTCAGTATATTATTGCTTTATCAGTCCGTAATTTATCCAGTGTCTTTTGGTTGTATTTGATGAAGCAATGAAAACTATGGTGAATAGATGTGAAAAAGAAAGAACAAAACTTTTTCTTACTCCAATTTAAGTTGCCCACAATGAATCCTAACCTCAAAGAATTAGGAATGTCCTATTTCAGTCGTTTGTTTAGCTGTTGTTTCCTTTCAGGAAGCTAAAGTGACTCTCTTATTGTCATTGTTTAGCTGTTGTAAAACATCATCCTTCGTCTTTGTATTGTCCTTATGGTTCCAAAGGTAAAGTGACTCTTTTTGTTTCCTTCATCCTGAAGTCAATCTAACTCTGATCTCTGCTAAACAACTTTTAGATTGGTGATGGTGTGCGACCTTATGGACTCTACATTGGAGTTAAGAAAAAGCGCAAGTGCTCCATTTGGTTGGATAAAGTAAGAACGATGATGTTTCTGGAATTTCATGAAGTAATTGGGTAAGGATCCATAAACTCCATTGATTTTGCAGTGTGTTGGGACTGGATTTTGTCCAACTTTATGTTAAAATCAGACTTGTGGGGGAGGAGACCGTTCTTCCATTTTGCCATCTTGCTGATTTACTAGGAATTAATATGCCTGAAGTAATAGTGATGTATACGTGTTCCTCTTTGTGCCATCTTGCTGTCTGATTTACTAGATAACTGAACGTAGCTGTGATTTTTCTTCAGAGGGGACGAAGAGTACCTTTATGTCAATGACTGGGGTATCAAAACGGGAGATGCTTTCCGGTTCTATATGTCAGACCCCAACACTGCGTTGAGGTCTAGAAACGATGTTTCTGAATGCTTTAGGCGTTTGAATCACAACTTTGTTGATACACCTGCATCTACATCTGCTCAACAACCAACAGGCACTAAGACAATGTCAGTCTTCGGAGGTCTGATATTTGCTTGCTGTGGCCGTGGCGAGCAATTTTTCGAACAGCGCAATGTGGATTCCATTCCTTTCTTGGAAAATTTCCCCGGGGTTCCCATTGGAGGAACTTTCTGTTTTTGGGAGATGGCCATGGTAGATAAGAGTATATATGGGGACGAACCTCAGGATGAAGAAGATGGTGGAAGCTGCTCACATCATTATTATAGCACGGTCTATTTAGCTTTATCCTGCACCCCTGCATAGGTTAAGGGTTGAAGCTATATAGTAGTACAGGACCGAATATAAGTTCAAAAGACTAGCTGGCTTGACCATCTCCTCTTTCTTTTGCTTTGTTATAAATGTTTGCGCCTTAACCAAAATGTTTTGAGAAGTTTTTCATAGGTTAATGAGGAGAAGAAGCTTTTGTACCTCTCTAAAGCAGCAAATATCATCATAAAACCTTTTCCAGAAGTGGCAAAGAGATGACGACATCATTAACTGGGTCTGCTTAGAAAAGAGTAAAACCAAAGAATTTGATCACGGCTTTGTTCTTTCTTATGCCCCACGCCTAAAACCCTTGTAATTTTCAGTTGGGTACAAAAAATACAAGCAACCATATACCGTTGTGCGGCTTCTGAAGACGTGATTTTTGAAGGATCAGGTGCCTGATAATATGTTGAGCAAACTTCCTGAGGATCTGTTAAACTGAGGTCCTGCAAAGTCACTGTGGGAACTCAGAAGGGTTTTCCAAATCCTTCGAAGAACTGCACTTGATCCGAGGTCAATCATCTACGTGGGACTAGGCCCCTCGAGTTATTGTTCAACAGTTTTTTCATAGAAAGCCGGAAGAAATTTTTGAGTGTTTATCCAGAGTTTGATTCACCCGAAAAGATGAAATCTACTAAAGTGGATATCAGTTTCCCTTTCTTTGAATCCACCGTGAACAACAAGACCATTGACCTTGAAATCAGTGCTTCTTGCAATGGGTTGATCTGTTCGGCTTACAACGAGTTCTGAGTATGATACTTCCAAGCTTGAACGTAACTTCGGGGTTGTACTGTTATGGAATCCAAGATTTAATGATTACTGGATGTTGCCTAATTCCCCTGTTTCACTCGCTCACTACTATATGATACTGATAACCACATTGAAAGGAGTTGTGGTTGTGGATACGATGAAACTCGTGATGATTACAAAGTGGTGAGAATCGTTCAAATCACCCACTATAAGATTTACTAGTATTATAGAAGAAGTCTTGTAGTTGAGCAAGAAATTAAAGTTTACAGCCTGAAATGAAATTCTTGGAAGAGCCTCTCTTACGAGGAGCCCTTTCGGGCCGCGTTCGATTCTGTTCCGAGAACGCAAGTGCATAGGACTGATCAACCATGTCCTACATTGGGTCATTGGAGTAAGGGAACAAGGAGGGGATGTGTTGGTTATATTTTCCGAAGCGTGCCTGTTTAATGTCAAGTTTTATCAAATCAAGAAAACTTTCAGTCGCGACATCCTATTGGTTCGTAAATCTTAAATGTTGTTTCATGTAAATAAAGGTTCTTACTACATTAATCTCCCTTCACCGTCCGTTCTGTATGAAATTAATCTCAATTTTTCTTTTTTGAATAATGTAACTGTTTAGCCTTTAAGGACCCAAATTCTTCCAGTTCAACATTTATTACAAAAGTACACCTAATGCATCACGACCTAAATTTATTGTCCTGATTGTGACCTTAGATTACACACAAATTTGCTTTGTCGGCTTAGCGGCTGGTCCTTGCGAGAGGACCTAAGGAACCCGTAGCACCTCGGGGGGATGGTCATATAGAACTAAGCACACAACTGGTCGGGGGCTAATACCACTTCCCTGATGAGCCCAGGACTGGGCGAAACCAGTAGGCTACGGGGTGTAGGCTGATCCTGCAGGAGAAACTGGAAGATCCTGGGAATGCCGCACGGGCGGCTATGGGAGCTGTCGGACGAGCCCGTGACAAGTGGTATCAGAGCCATCGTGCGAGAGAGCTGTGTGCCTCCGTTGGGAAAAGCTCGAGTGCATCACCTGGAGGATGGGTGCGCATGACCTGGGAAATGGGTGCGTGCGGAGCGCAGAGGCGCCATGCCGAGGAAAATGAGCTGAACGTGCATTGTCGCCAGAGGAGTGGTGACCCGCCTGGAGGAGAGGTGGATGCTTGGTGCAGCGGCGCTAGAGGGCACAACTGATGGCATGCGATCTTAGGGTGAGTCATTTTTATACCCACCTAGCACGAGGGCGTGCTAGAATTTAAGTGGGGGAGGTCTGTTATTGGGATAACTAGGATACCCAGGGATCGATTTGCGTACCTACTGAGTTTGCTACCTGGTGGGGTAGGGAGACGGGTTAGCGTTCAGGAAAGGTTGTCGGCTTAGCGGCTGGTCCCTGCGAGAGGAACTGAGGAACCCGTAGCACCTCGCGGGGATGGTCATGTAGGACTAGTGCGCGGATAAGCACACAACTGGTCGGGACTAATGCCGATCCCCTAATGAGCCCAAGGTAGGGCGAAACCAGTAGGTTACGCGGGTGTAGGCTGATCCTACAGGGAAAACTGGGAGACCCTAGGGATGCCGCACGAGCGGCTGTGGAAACTATCGGGCGAGCCCTTGACAAGTGGTATCTTTTTTATCCCTTCACATGACCAGATATATTATTCACATAAATTCATGTATGATCGGACAGAACAGAACATGAGTACCGGGTAAATAAATGGAGAAATGTGTATATAGGGGAAAGAACAACATAACTAAGTAGATCGAATATAAGACTCCTTCTATCTCTTATAATTTTCTAATCCACAATTTGCGTCAATCTATATTATTTAGTGGAAGAAGCGTTCCCAATTATCGATCAAAGAAAGGTCTAATAAATCCTAATAGTTTTGGTATGATATGCATCTTGTGTCTGAAGTCCTTCCTAATAAAGATTTGAAGTTTATTAGGTCTCTTTTCCAAAATCCAAATCCTAATAGTCTTCAGTTGCATCACTCACAAAAGTAAAAGCAATCATACATATATACTTGGCCTACTATATCTTCCTCAGTAGCCGCACAATGGTAGATATTCTAGGATAATGTTAATTCCTCATCGACAGACAATATGTTGAGCAACCTACCGGAGGACCTGTTAGCAGGAGTGCTGGTGAGGTTCTCTGCAAAAACACTGTTGCAGCTTAGGCTGGTTTCGAAACCATGGAAATCTCTGATTGATAGCAAAAGTTTCGAGAAATCGCACTTTACCCAGGGCCAACCGCCTTCTCCATCACTACCAGGAAGGCCTCTTAAGTTATTTTTCAAGAGTACTTTCTCTAGAGCCTGCAGGGATGTTTATGGTTATGTTGTTGTAGAAATCGATTCACCCGAAAAGATGAAATCCACTAGTGAATAACATCCTTTTCCCTTTCTATGGACTTGTTAGGAATCTGATCATGACTATGGACCTTGGAATCAGTGGTTCTTGCAATTGATTGATTTGTGTGCCTTTCCAGCATAGAACTGACAAGGGTGAACCTAAAATTGGGGTTCTGTTATGGAACCCAAGCATTAATGATTACTGGATGTTTCCTGATTCCCTTGTTTCACTCTCTCGCTTCTACGATTCTTGTGATTGCAGGCTAGTTGCGGGTAATCCTGATCACGTTGAAATATCTCATGGTTTTGGGTATGATGAAACTCGTGATGATTACAAGGTGGTCAGAATTGTTCAAATTACCCACTATCAGGATCCGTATTACAGAACAAGAAGTCTAGTTGAGCAAGTGACGAGTCCATATCCACCACCTACATTGGACTGACCCATTCACCGAGTCCAGAGTCTAACAGACTCTGTGGAGTGGTGCAAGGGTGCTAAATCTAGTAAGATTCGGACATCTTCTAGGTCTATAAATAGGGATGATTACTCCATCATTGAGGTACGCTATCTCTAGCTCCAATAATCATATACACATTTCTCTATTACTCTATTTCTGACTTAAGTATCGGAGTGTCTATCCTTGGAAGATCCCCGAGGCCCTCTTTTGCAAGAAATCCTAAGCGGAGTTCCACTGATCAACTGGAGTCACAATTCAAGGCTTTGTCAAGTGGCACGTCTAGTGGGACCCGAGGACTAGGGTTTATGTCGCAAAGGTATCTCAAGCTTTTATTAGACTTTCTCAACCGTCAACCACCGTAGCAAATTAGGGTTCACCCCCAAAAAAGATGGCGGTAATCGACAACCCCCAATCCAGCATGGCGTTAACAGGCAAGTGACCAAGCTCGGATGACAATGAAACCCTGGCGAAATTCCAGGAGAAGCACAGGCGAAAGAAGAACACCCGCCAGTCAAGAAAAGAAAAAACTCCTACGAGACCATCCAATCCCGGGGAGAAAAGGGAGGAGAACCCTAGCAATCATCACCAAGCATCCAATCCACATGATGAAGCACGGTTGGCCAAAATCAAAGCAGAACTCAAAAAGTTGTGAAACAATAATAACCTCAATCAGAGGAAGAAGAAGTACATGTTGGAAGAATACCAGTGCCGTTGTTTGCTCGATCAACTTGACCCAACAGACCAAGAGTTGCAAGATTTAATCGACGAAAAAGAGGCACGCAGGACATTGGCTTTGCTTGAGAAGAAACAGGAAAACGCAAAGTCCCAAGCGAGGAAACCGAGAGCACCTACAAGGAGACCCCTGACCATGAAATCTCTCGGGAAGAACGTTCAATTGGTCGTAGCACAGCCTTTTGAGGTTCCTTTGAACGAGCGTACCCAGCATCCCGATAGCACTCGAGGAGTTTGCAAAAGAACGACAATGCAGGAAACAGTCTTGTACCTATCATCGCCGCGACTCACCTAGTATTGAGATGGTGTTTGGAAAAGACTGGAACCCCCCAAAAGCTAACGTGCACCCTCGTCTGGGACCTCAAGTTCATGTGGAAAGATCCCATCTTGATAATGATGGCGAATATCGAGCACCTCCTCGAGGTATAGATTATTCTAGTGGAGGTCATTAATAAGACGACCATTATGGCCCACGACATTCTCCTCAACCTCAACACACTGAGCGGCACCCCCAAGAAGAACCTTATGTCCCACGATGTCAGGGGAATATGGCAATCAGAACCTGCCCGTTCGAGAATCAATGAGAAGAATGATAAGGATGATTGTCGACAAAAGTTCGTTTGTACCAAGGATTGAAGACTGTCCAAAACCCTAGGACATTGACTTCCCCAAGGATTTTGTAAAGTACTCAGGAGACTACGATCCATAGCAATTGTTGCATGGATATGTTCAAGTCATAAGAATCCGAAACGCATCACTGATTTCGTGGATAAAACCCTTCCATCCTATCTCGTTGGACAGGCACAATGGTGGTTTGGGTAGTTGCCGGAAGCAAGTATTACCAGCTTCGAGGACTTGTCAGTTAAGTTGGCCACACGCTTCTTTCCAAGCAAGTAGATTACAAAAATGCCAATCGACCTTTTCTCGATTAAATAAGGACAAAACGAGAGCCTTTCTGATTTCCACCGTTGCTTCATCCGAGAAACTCTCCAAGTTGATTGCCTCGATGACAAAGATGTGTGAAACAGGTTCATTCAGGGTCTTAATCCATTCGGGAAATCTGCTACTTTGAGGGTGAAACTGTCTACCAAACCTTCTCAGAATACGCAGGAAATGTGGGCTACGGTGGAAAACTACATCTAGCGAGAACAGACACTTAAACACTCACAGGAATCCTTCTCGATAGCAAGAGATTGAGGCGGAAGGGACAGGCTCAAATATACAATAGAAGCCAAATCGGCACTGCCTAAGCTCAACAGACAACTGACTCCACTGTTAAAGCCTTGACGAGAAATCCTCCAAATCCACAAGGATGAGCTCCCTATTCCAAAGCCCCTGGCTCCCAATGCTAACAGGTCCACAGACCAGTACTGTGAGTATCATAAGGACCACGGTCATGACACTGAAGATTGTAGGGAGTTGAAATGAGAAATCGGGGCGGGAGTAAAGTCTGGGAAATTTGAACAATATGTACAGAATGCTTCTCGACAAAAGGGAGAAAAGTTCGCGGGATCCCGTAACTTTGCTAAGAAGAATTCCCGCGACCCTCGAGTGGATAACCGAGGGAATAACTGGACACCAAGGAACAATACGCAGCAATCTTCTCAGCAGCCCCTCGACAGTGGTCCTCAACCACCCCAACAAGTCCCTCCACCCGATCCTACTAAGCAAATTACTCACAATATGGGGGCAATCTATGGTGCATCACTCGAGGTTCTTTCTACAACAGCCATGAAGGCATCAGTTTGAGAGGTAACTAAAACTCCTTTACAAGACCCTAGCCATAAATGGTTTAAGGGAACCGAGGCAATAGTCTTTACGAATAGTGACGTAGTCCCAGGCATTTGTCCACACAGCGACGCTGGTTATTGAAGACATTATAGGAAATGTTCACATGAGCCAAGTATACGTCGATAACGGCAGCGCAGTCAACATCATCTATAGCAACTGTTTCAAGAAGATGAACATACAAAATCCTGATTGGCATCCAACAACATTACAACTAATGGGCTTCTCTGGGCACACGATTATCCCCAGCGGAATCGTAAGGCGTCCAATCACAGAAGGGTCGCATCCTCGAATGGTAACCTTAACCATGGATTTTGCCATAATTGGTGCACCCTCGCCATTTAACGTGATTTTAGGACGGCCATGGATGTGCCAAGCTCGCACTATTTGGTCTCCTTACCACTTGGTAATGAAATTTTCAACGGAGTATGGGATAGGGATGTTACAAGGGTGCCAACACAGTTCTCGAGAATGCCTCTTCACGGCAGTGAAAATAGGGAAAAAGACAGTGAATTCTGGAGTTACCACTGCCACATCGGGATGTTACTCAGTTCAGCAGGGGATGCCATCAGTCGAGGACGTAAGGAAGGAACAAGCCATGGATCTCAACCACCCTCATCAACCGCCACTCAGTAGTAAAACGGAGGAGTTGATCTTGGACAAAAAGGAACCTGGAAAAACAATCCAACTTGGAATATCCATAGGTAGAACATTGTGGGCCAAGGTAATCGCTTTGCTACGCGAGTTCCGAGATATCTTTGCCTGGACACCGTCTGATATGACTGGAGTTCCTTGACAAATCATCGAGCACGAGCTAAACGTGGATCTCAACATCAAGCCGGTACAGCAGAAAAAGAGAATCTTTGCTCGAGACCGGATGGCGTCATCAATGAGGAAACACTCAAGCTTGTTCATGCCAACATCTTCTGAGAAGTCCTCTGGCCAACATGGCTGGCCAACCCAGTCCTCGTCCAGAAACTGGATAACTCCTGGCGCATGTGCTAAGATTACGCCGACCTCAACAAGCATTGCCCCAAAGACTGCTACCCTTTGCCGGTCATTGATTAAATGGTTGAGGGAATCACCGGGTTTAGAACTATAAGCTTCCTCGTCGCCTACAAGGGATATCATCAGATCCTTATGGCCCAAGAAACTGCTGAAAAAACAGCTTACATCACCGAAATTGGAGTTTATTGCTACGATAAAATACCGTTTGGACTAAAGAATACTGGAGTCACTTATCAGCGGTTGGTTAACAGAGCCTTCCACGAGCAAATCAGACGTAATATTGAAATTTATGTGGATGATATGGTCATCAAGAGTAATCTCGACGATAAGATAGCAAAGGACATGCGAGAAATTTTCACGATTCTCCTCAAAATTAACATGAAACTCAATCCAAAGAAGTGTGCTTTCTGTATCGGTTCTGAGAAATTCCTCGGATTCCAAGTTTCCAAGGACGGCATAAGTGTGGATCTTATGAAAGTTGAAGCAATCCTCTCCATGGAAGCCCTAAAAATTGTTAAAGAGGTCCAAAAACTCATCGGATCTCTGGCAGCTTTGGACATGTTTCTCTCCCGAGCTGTCGAAAGAAGCCTTCCATTCTTCAAGATGCTACAAAAAGGGAGGAAATTCGAGTGGACTGAGGAATGCCGGCAAGCCTTTCGAGACCTGAAAGAACATCTAAAGCAACTTCCTATGCAAGTGAAGCCAGAACCAGGGAAGTTCTATATATCTACTTGGCTGCTTGAGAGACCGCCATATCAGCAGTACTAATCCAGAAGAAAGACAGAAAAGAAATCCCGGTCTATTTTGTGAAAAAGGTCCTACAAGGAGCGGAATCTCGGTAAACCCCCATGGAAAAGCTAATACTAAGCCTGGTGCTAGCTGCTCGACGGCTACGTCCCTACTTTCAAGCTCATCCAATCCAAGTCCTAACTGAGCAACCTATTCAACAGGTCCTCCTTAAACCTGAAGCTTCAAGGAGAATGATCAAGTGGGCCGTCGAGTTGGGAGAATATCATATCAAATATAAGCCTAGAACGGCTATAAAAGGACAGGCATTTGCAGATTTCCTCGTCGAAATGCCCCGTACTCCAGATACCATACCCGAACTGTCCTCAAAGAGGCAAGTGCAAAAGCATACTCTCGCAGATCCTCGAGCTTGGACTCTTTACGTCGACGGTTCATCTTGTGAGGACGGGGGAGCAGCCGATATAATCCTAGCCAAACAAACCGGCCCACAAGAAATCGAGGAGATAAAGGAATATGATGCGGAATATTCTTATGCCTTGCGATTTGGCCTCCCAGTCACCAACAATATAGCCGGATACGAAGCAATGCTCATGGTGTTGAATATGGCTCTAAGACTAGGGGTCCTGGGGGTCTGAAATTTAGAATTTTTCAGCTATTCTCAGGTAGTAATTAAGCAAATCAATGGCGACTATACCGTTCGCGAGGAACATTTAAGGCCATATCTCGAGAAATTCCTCGAAATCAGGGATAAGTTCGACAAATGTTCCATATCCCACATCCTCAGAACTAGCAACAAGAGAGCCGACGCCTTAAGCAAGTTAGCTTCATCCACTTTTGCACATCTCAATCATAAAGTTTGGTCGAGGTGCTCCCTGAACCTAGCATCCAGCCTCGAGTATCACTCACGATCGCTGAAGATGGAGATACATAGATGACACCAGTTATTCAGTTTCTCGAGAACGGGACTCTCCCCAGCTATAAGTCTCCAGCTCGAGCATTAAACTTAAAAGCGGTCAAGTATACCATGAAGGACGGAATCCTCTACAAGCACGGGTATCTACTACTAATGTTGCACTGCATCAGCCCAAGACAGGCAGCCTATGTCCTCGAGGAAGTTCATGAAGGATAAAAAACTTGATGATTCCCTGTTTTCCTGTTTATTGGGAAACAGAGCTATGGACCTTGGCATCCGTGCTTCTTGATGATCTCACCGAGAACAGGACTATGGACCTTGGCATCCGTGCTTCTTGCAATGGATTGATTTGTGTGACTTACCAGTATAGAACTGATAATGGTGAACCTAAAATTGGGATTGTGTTATGGAATCCAAGTATTAATGATTACTAGATCTTGCCTAATTCCCTGTTTCACTCTCTCGTTACTATGATTCTCGCCACTGTGTAGAAGTAAGTTATGGTTTTGGGTATGATGTAACTCGTGATGATTACAAGGTGGTGAGAATCGTTCAAATTACCCACAATTAGGATTTTAATTATGGAACAAGAAGTCTCATAGAGCAAGAAATTAAAGTGTACAGCCTGAAATCAAATTCTTGGAAGGGTCTTTCTTACGAGGATTCCTTTCGGCCGCATTCAGTTGTGTTTGAAGAACGCATGAACTTCATAGGCCAGGTCAACCATACATTCGAGGAAGGGAACAAGGAGGGCAGCACTATGATGAAGCTGATTCGTATGCATTAGAGGCTCTTGACCTCCGAAACCACAAGTTTCATCTTGTGCCTTCCCCTCCTTGTGTGGAACCCGATTATGCTTCATCATGGATGAAAAAGGCCAGGGCGTTTGGGGTTTTGGATGGCTGTCTTAGCTTCATATGCATATCCAGACAGGGGAATAGTAATGATCTGTGGACAATGAAGGTGTACGGTGCAAAAGAATCCTGGACGAGATTTAGTCTTGGATGTCATCAAATTTATCCTTGGGGGATCTTTGGTTATACACATGAGGGAGTAGGAATGCTAATAGGAAACTATTCTTGACGGAGCCGAATAAATTCTTATGGTTGGATGATATCAACATTGATAAGGAGTCCATTGAGGAAGAGAATCAGAGGAAAAACAAGGAGCCCGTGACAATGTTTGTTGGTGAATGTGATATGAGCCGGATTGACGGTGGATATATCTATTGTGACAGCCTTGTTAGACCTTGGCCACTAAACAAGGAGAAGATTAGCCCAATGAGAAGATTCAGATGGGTACATCATGACGACCAAGAAGAAGAACAAAAGGGGCTTTGATTTTGCAGAGGCGATAATGATGATGATCTCCTATACAGAATTTGATTGACGAAATACTTTAAAGTAATCTTTTTCAAAAAAAAATTAATAAAAAAATTACTTCAAGTAATAAAAATATATACTTTTGTGTTTGATGAGTTTTCCTTTATTTCAGTTTTTACCTTGTTCACGGGACAAGGTTGATAATTTTAATTTCCATCTTGAATTCCTGTATCCAAAAAACACCTGAATAAAAAAACCCTTTAGACTTCGATTTATATAAAAGAAATCAGATTTTGTGGTTCTCTGTCAATAATTTTGGCCCCTTGAATTTAGATGTTAAGCAATCTTCCAGAGGATCTGTTAGCAGAATTGCTGGTGAGGTTCCCTGCAAAAACACTGTTGCAGCTTAGGCTGGTTTCGAAACCATGGAAATCTCTGATTGATAGCAATAGTTTCGAATTACAGCACTTGACCCAAGGCCAATCTTCTCCGCCGCTCCCATACAGGCCCCTTAAGTTAATGTTCAAGGGTGTTATTGGTGGAAGCTACACGGAACTAGGTCATCGTATTTATAGTGCTGGGGAATTCGACTCACCGGAAAACACGATAAATTCTAAAGTGGATATCAGTTTCCCTTTTATTATGAACCCCGCTGATCTGAGCAGAACTAATCTGGTCCTTGGAATCAGTGCTTCTTGCAACGAGTTGATTTGTATGAGTAATTATAAGAGTTACCGCGACTCTATGTTTCGAGTTGTGTTATGGAATCCAAGTACTAATGATTACTGGATGTTGCCTGATTCCCCTGTTTCACTCCATCGCTACCATAATTCCAAGAAGCATGACCACATTGAAATAATTTATGGTTTTGGGTACGATGAAGCTTGTGACGATTACAAGGTGGTGAGAGTGGTTCAAATTACCCACATTCAGATTCCTTATGATAATCATCACAGAACAAGAAGTCTCGTTGAGCAAGAGATCAAATTTTATAGCCTGAAATCAGATTCTTGGAGGAGTCTTATGATGAGGAGTGGTTTGGCCCGCATTCAATTATTTTGAAGAACGCAAGAATTGCATAGGTCAGATCAACCATGCTCTACATTGGGTCATTCGAGGAAGGGAGCGAGGAGGGAAGCACTATGATGATGCCGACTCCTATTCAATCGCGGCGCTCGACCTCAGAAACGACAAGTTTCTTCTTGTTCCTTCGCCTCCTTGTGGTGTTCGTTCTGATTATTATGATGTTTTACGCCTAAAGAATTATCCCAGGCAGGCATTTGGGGTTTTGGATGGCTGTCTTAGCATCATATACCAGTCTAGACGAGGGACTGGTCGTAATTATTTGTGGACAATGAAGGAGTATGGTGCAAAAGATTCTTGGACAATGTATAATGTTGGATGTGAATATTCAATTCCACGGCACATGTTTGGTTATGCATATAAATATGGCGGGAGTGGGGGGAATGCGGATAGGAAACTGCTTTTAGCGGATTTTAAAGGACTTGTATGGTGCGATGTCGATGACGCCATCGATAAGCAATCTGTTGAGGAAGAAGATCATCAGAGGAAAAGCAACGAGCCCATCACTCTCAATCCAGTCGATGAATATTATCGTATGAGCAAGATCGACGGCGGATGCATCTATAGTGACAGCCTTGTTAGACCTTGGCCTCCTTGTGCTCACATTGAAAGGAAGACCTTGGCCTCCTTGTGCTCAAATAATTGAAAAGGAAAAAGACAGAATGTCAAATAATTACATATGAAGTCCCTCTGTTATTGAATAATCAAGAAAGAGTCTACGTGCACATAGCTAAATGCACTTAATGTGCATAGTATGACAACTCATACTATTGCCCATGAATCATCTTTGATTTTAGACACGAGGGGACTAGGGCTGCAAGTGAAAAGAAAATCTTTTCAAACCCGGACCAAACCATAAAGCCATCAGGCCGCAGTTTAATCGGTTAACTAGTTTCGGTTAACCGGTTTTTTATGTATGGTGTAAAAGTTTGACGTATTTGACAAAAAGTCTCATGAATATGCTACTAATGCATTCGACATAACTATTTTTGCATTATCAAAAAGAAGACATAACTATTTTTGACAACCTTTTTCCCCAATATTGATGTAATTGGTGAGTTGATAAAAAACTGGGAATGTTTGAGCAATATTGGAACTGTTGGATGGTTGGACGGTTTTAGCGTTAATAAAAAAATTATGTAGACGCGCGGCACCCTTAGGAACATTACATATTTCGAAACACAGATTAAAATTGATTAGCATTCTTTTTTATAAAGAAACTCTTAACGTGTACGTGACAAAATTAGTTATTCATTATTAATTTTTCACCAATAAATATTTCTCTCGTCGAAATTTCTGAGTATAAAATCATATAATTGGTAAATGACTTTCATAGCGGACTGGTTTATAAACAGTAGTAACACCTCATTTAAATCTAGACAAAAATCAAATGTAAACATTGAAGAGAAAAGTCTATCCCCTTTTTTTCTATATTTTTTTTTTTAAAAAAAAACTCGGAAGAAAGTACAACTTCTGAAAATAATTAAGATATGTGGTTTAAGAGACATAAAATAATGCAGCAGTAGATAAAATAACAAGGACAATCAGAGTTCAAAGTTCAAACCCTAAAAACTACATAATCTTTTTCTGGTACGAGTCAACGACAGCTCAATGAACCGGACATGAAGACCTCATCTCGTGTCGTCGGTCGACGGAGAAAGACCCAAGGCGTCCATGTTAAGATACTGCTCGATCCCAGCTCCATGATCTACATTATTGTTCATTCCGTCCAACAATACTCCATTTTGCTCAGAATTAAAACCGGTAGAACTTTCAGCCGTAAAAGTGAAGCTTCCGGGCGGATAAACTCCAAAAATTGCCGAGGTTGAATCTGGGATACCAATTTCACTCCCATTCATCATACTCGTGTGCTCATTTTTCAGAACAAGCAATTCCTTCAACCTGACTATTTCTGCCTTATTCTCTTCAATCTCCCCTGCAAATATATATATATATATATTTTCAAATGTTTTTTCTTTGTCAGAAATAAGATATGAAAATTAATATGAAATATAAGGACGTCAAATGATTGAATGAATGAATAGTTAATTAAATTACTATTGCAAATAATAGATTGATCCATGCATCTCTTTATTTGCTGTTCCAAAACGATCCTCTCGTTCCTCAACTCGGTTTGCTTCTGTTTGCATGTCTCCAGTGTCGGGTTTAAAAATGCCATATGGTCCTGCAAAGTGCAAACGTGAATATATCAGCAAAGAAATTGATTAAAAAATATCTAGATACTTTTTCTTATAGATGGATATTGCAAATTAATTTGTTTCGTTCACATTATTTAATTCTAAATGTTTAGCAAGATTTATTCTGGTTTTTTCACAGGTTGCAGTAGTCGAACTCAAAATATTGTGATTAGTGATTACAGTAATCTCTTGCTAGCAATTTATAAAAATTTAAATAAGTTACTATTATAATAATCATATACCTCTAATTCCTTCATTCTTTTCTTCATTTCTGCAATGTAATTCAACTTTTTGATCCTTGATCTTTGAGCTGACAGTCGATTCGAGATTGTCCTAAAATTAAAAATATTAAACAGCCGCCAACCAAAAAAAAAAAAAAAAAAAGTAAATCGAATGAACAATCATTCTAAAAATAAAGTAAAATTAAAAAAAAAAAGACTAGTATTTTTTTGGTCAATAAACTACCTCCTGAGTTTCTTTTCCTCATCAGGGTCAAGCTCACGACCACATTTCTCAATGCTAAGGGCTTCCTCAAGCGTGGGAATAGTGGATCCTTCAAAATCCACCTCCATCAAGCTGCCGTAGTTGACATTATTCTCCGGCGGTGGCGGGTTTGTCTGGTTTTGCATTAGCAGTCCATTTCTTCCACCGGCCGGTTCGTCAAGGTTGGTGCGTGGCAAAACGTCGAGGTTTAGTGCCGTGAATTCTTGTCCGCGCGGCGGAGGTGGTACCGGCGGTGGTGCAACCAAAAGACTTTCACCCTCCGCCACCAAATTCATGTTGCCATCGGCCTCCATCAATCCAAATCAGCTCTGTCGCTTATACAATCTGCAGTAAAACGATTCAATGTCACCAACCAAAAAAAAAAAAAAAAAATTAAATAAATAAAAAAAATTAAGAAAATCAAGAAGTGATTTGAGTACTGAAAAGCAAATGAAGGGTTAAAACCAACGTCTTTTCCTTTGATATATTTTTTTTCTTTTTTTCTCTTTTGTGAGAGATTATGGCTGGTCTACCCGTCTATATATGCACACAATAAAAATCCTATTTAGTTAATTATTAATTTATGAGCGGTCAAAGTAATTTTTTAAGTACGGTAACTACGTAAGTTAACGTTGCTTATTGAATTTACCGCCGGCCGCTCCTCAATTTTACTGTAGTCGACAAACCATATTCTTTAAACAGGAGATGGTCGTATATGTCCTACTTCCAAACGGGAATGCTTATCCATTGCTCCAAGGACAATGCATTACTTTGTTTTGTAATATGCAAACGAGAAAAAAAAATTACATCCCACGCTACATGATACTAATTATATATATATATATATATATATATATATATTTAACGGAGAGGGTAACATTTTTGAGCTACAAAATGCGTACAATCTCATTGTTTATGTTTTAACCGTACAGAATTATACATGTGTATTTATAGCTTCATTGATAACTTCTTATTCATTCTTTCTATTCTGATGCAGTGGAATAAGAAGTATTGGACATACTTCATCCGATTTTTTAAGCTCATATTTTTTTCGTAATACAATTTCAATTGTTCTTACAAATATATTCTTTGACTTAAAATTAATCCAAAATGTTATGAATTTATCCAAGTTAAATTTACCAATTCCATCATGAGAAAACTCCTTAATAAGTTCAATCTTTGAAGTTTAACTCACCTCTCGAGACTGAAAGAATAATTATCTTATAAGAACGTACAATTCAAAGACCATGAATAAAGTTAGTTATAGATTTGAATTTCACTTAACATTTTTTTTTATATATATCAAACGAGTGTGACGCACTAAAAGTATCATAAATCATATAGAGTGCCTGCCAGCTGATTTTTGGATTATTAATTAGTTCGCTCCATTTTTGATTTAGATAATCTCGTAGTTACCTTCATTTGATTTTGCCAAAGACCATGTTAAGGTAGAGTATGTTTTCGGTGTTTTTATCTCTAGGCAACGGTCATTTGCCAAATAAGTAACTAAATAAAGACATTGAAGAACTGTCTCTCTCTTAAGGCGAAGAAATAACATGCCACAAAATGTCAAAATATTTCTAGATTAATCCCAATTTTGGAAGTGCACGTATTTAATATCATGATTATGGTATTCCACATGGTCCACATTTCAGACCAGCCAAATTAGCAGAGAGAATAAACAATAACGATTTTTTCTTTTTTCTCCCTTTTTTAAATCTTTTTTTTTTTTGGTATTTTTGTGTATTTTGTGTGTGATCGTTTGTGTTAATTTCACTAATTAACACATTTGGTACACGGAACATAAAAATAGTGAACCACTTGCTTAGTTTCAGTTGGGAATAATGATATCAATTTGTAACTCAAAAAAATACAGTCATTTCATAATATTTCGTATCCAAGTAGGTGCAGAAATAATAAATAATCAATAATACTGAATTTATATATACCCCCAGTTGTAAAATTAAAAAAACCTTCATCATAAAAAAAATAGCTTGTGAAAGAGTTAGTTAGTGGTAAGAACACAAAAAGCCCTATTATTTCGAAAACATCATCTTACATTTTTAGTTTTTTTTTTTTTTCAGAAAAATATAACTCCAATAAGTTGCGAGTGACGCAATATGCAAAAGTCACCTTAGCCTGAAGAATAAGAATAGCAAGTTAGCATCATCTATCAAGTTAGAAGTTTCAAATTTGTTTGTGTTCATCGTCGATGTTTTGCTATTTCCTTGACTCTGAGTTAGTTTTAAACCTTGTCTAAAGTTTCTGTAAATAAAAATATTAAAAAAAAAAAAAAAGCAAAGGCGCGCCTGAACCATTAAGAACACTTTGAGGTCATTGCGAAAGGGAATGACAGGAGGCCTTGTGTACTGCAAAATGGAAGTCTCGGTAAAAAGCATTTCAACGATCTAGAACATTTCGAGCAAATTATACATATACAACAAAGCGCTACAAATAAAATTTTGAGGATGGGATGTGATAAGTAACCTAGCAACTCTGTAGACCTATAGGAGTTCAGTTACTCTCAATGTCTCAAAATTATTTTCAATTTTCTTTTTTTATTGTGAATTATACTAAAAATAAAATCACAAGTTGGACAACAATTTCGAAACAGAGGAAATATTTGTTTTTGTGCGATTTGTAGTAGTATACATTTACCTATGCACTGAATCAAATTATTGTAAGAAAGTCTTGGGAAATTCTTTAGAAATTCTTGTTGGAACAAAAATGATGTGATATGCACAAGAATGCTAGGGAAGCTGAAATCAATCTAACTAACTGCGAATAACGTTTTGATGAACAGCCAAATGAAGAAAACCTTACTCTTCTCAAATCTGCTCAAGATTGCCACCTTTTGCGGCTAGCTGAAGAAGAGATTTTATGGTGGCAAAAGGCCAGGATATAATGGACTAAAGAAGGTGACGCTAACACCAATATCTTTCACTCAACGGTCACAGAGGAGAACAAGAATGAGAATCTATAAAATAAAAACTTCGCTTGGCAATTGGATATCTACACAGGAGGACATAGCTTCTCATGCTTCATGTTTCTTTGAAGAACTACTTACTGATCAAGGGGAAACCAATGAAGAATCAATGAACTTAATATTATCTACAGTTCCCATGATGAGAATCATGTAGCCTTCCAAGATGATTCTCCTAGTGAGGGAAATGAACTAGTCCTTCATTCTAATTTTGGAATGCCAAGTTTACTTTGCAGGCCAATCAAGGAAGAAAGGATGGATCTTGACTACCTATGTGATAGGGAGTTGGTTCAAGAGAGCTATGATCAAGGTGATGAGAATATCATTAACTTTGGGGATCAAACCAAAGGAGATAATGATCTCATGGAAATAAGTGCTGAAGAGTATCAAGAGAGTTTGACTCTGTGTGCTCCATGAAGATCATTGATCAAGCTAGTGAAAAGAGTCATTTAGGTTCTTGAATGGACTGCCTATTTGATCAAAGTGTTCAAGATTGAGTCCATTGCTACACAATTGGATAGGTTGCAAACTATCTTAATTGTTTCAAGTGTGTTTCCAATCTTTTCGAGTCAATAAAGAAAATTCTACAAGTTTTGGAGTAAATTGGAGTTATTTACAACTTAAAGGGCGCAAGACCAATATTTTACTTTTGGAAGGGCATTCAAGACATTTTACTTCAACAATTTGGGAGCTGATTTTTGAGATTTAGTTGTTGTCTAAGTCTAGGAGTTATTTTCGAATTTTATCTAGTTAGATAAGCCATGTGGGTTGAATAAAACTAGAGTGTTTTGATTAGGAGTCTTAGATTCCTTCTAGACATTATCCTAATTGAGGATAAGTCATTTAGATAAGGTTTTCTAGATTTTAGATAGAGTCAAAGAGATCAAATACTCTTTTACTTCTACTCATTGTGAGATAAGATTAGAGAGTCCTAATTGATCTTCTTTTAGTAGTGCTGGCCGAATTTCCTAAGCCTATAAATAGGGGGCACGGCTCAAAATCAAAAGCACCCTTGAGTGGTCATTTTTGTTGTCTCTTTTGAGAGTTTTTCCTGTGAGGAATTTTTGTTAAATGGAGTGTCCATTTTTCGTGTCAAGTATGATTTAACCAAGAGGGTTTTCATCTTGTCTTGGATCTTTTTGATCTTACAGAAACCGTTCTTTTTCAAGTATGCTTCTTGATAGAATTGTTTTAAAACAAAACTTCTTATTTTCATACTACTTCTAGTAGTTCCATTGACGAGCCTTTCTTTTGGCTTGGTGTTCGAATTTCATGATAAGTGTGTTCATGAGTTCCATTGTGGGGTTTGTCCTACTTTTGTTGGATGAGTTGTGCTTTGGCATAAGCATTTTGAGATAGTGTATGTGTTGCATATCTTTGGTTGGTTATGAAGATTACTAATCAATAGTATTCCTTCATAGTTGAGCATTGTTTGCTCCTACCTTTCTTGAGTCTCTCGAATGATGACTGATCGAGTATATTGAATGGTGTCCTTGCTATTCTTAGCGTGGGTTGTTGTTTAATTCGAATCTTTCATGGATAATGTGTTCTTTGCTTGGTTTGAGTTAAGAGATAGAATCACTTAGATAAACAATCGTCTTACTATGAATTTTCCGTACTCTTTTGAGTTTCACGGGATAGACAAATTATCTTCGTACTTTCTTGTTGATGGTTGCATTAACGAAATTTGCTTCTATACGAGATTGCTATTATCCCACCACAGGTAATTCAGATTCTCTTCCAGTGTTAAAGGCTTGCTCTATGTGATGGAGGTTAAACCTCCCTGCTCATTTGTACACTGATCAGCTCGTGTATTTACAAGGTATACTATCTACCTTTCCAAGAAAAAAAGTTCTGAAAAATCTTGATGGCGGAAAGCAAGACTACAAAATCAACCTGTAGGCATTGTCCTTGTATCTGGATTAGAAATGATACAAAATGGAGATTAAGAATCAAGATTTCGATTGTGATGCACTTTTCTGAACATATTACTATTATAGAAGGGGATCGAGTTGAGTTGAAGATCATAAGATCATGGGTACAAGTAGTATTGAGATGAAGAAAGGGGATTGGATTTATTGGTAGACCAATATGTGAACTCTTGCATGTTTTTGAATACATATGTGCTATACTTCTGCAATTTAAATGATACAATACTTTTATGCAAGAAAATTTCTTGGTAGTTGTAATATGCTTCTGGTCTTTTGATTTGAACTATCAGATTGATTTGTATAGCAGTTATTAAACCATCAAAGAGGAGTGAATTTATGGAATGATGTACACTTGCGGAAAGAGAATTAAATCCATCTCCAGACTAGGAGTTGAGTCTGA